GACGATATTTACGGTTCGGCGCCCGCTTCACCCACCCTCACAGCGAACGTCCCTCATGTACGCGCTCACGAAATACTATCCGACCTCCCGTCGCGTCAACGAGCGCTCGACACAGATGCATACCGAGAGGGTCTGGCAAACAGCAAAGGCCAATACGTGCAAGAAGGATTCGATGAAGGCTACTCTCTCGGTGCCAACCTAGGCCTACGCGTCGGCTACATACTAGGAGTTCTACAAGGCTTTGTCGCGGCCTGGAGGGGTCATGACGAGCAAGTCCACAAGGAAGTGTCACAAGTCTTTGATTCTGCGCGTAAAGAGCTTGCCATCGAGGAGCTGCTAGGCCGCCAATGGGTAGATGAAGAGGGCATATGGAAGTGGGGTGTTGTAGGAAAAGACGATGACCCTACATTCAGGGAGGTCTCGGACCAGCATCCTGTAGTGAAGAAGTGGAAGGACCTGGTTGAGGATCTGGCAAAGAGGTGGGACGTTGATCTCAAGGCTGTGGAGAAGAGTCAAGTGCTGCTGGAAGAACAATCATGAGTGACTTCGAAGGGTATCTAGGTGCTATCTCGCATTTTTACTCCTTCCATGGCATATCAACATCACGACAAAGCTCTACTTGCAAGGGCTGAAGTGGTGTCGACGCAATCACAGCAATCGCCTCTCCATGCTTCCGATCAGAACGCTCTATAGCTCGCTCGAGGACGAGGTAACCTCCTGTTGACGGGAGATGAAGCAGAACTACACCATCTTGAGATAGGACAAGGGGACGCAAATATTCGCAGACAACGTCCTATCCTTCCTCATCCAGCGCAGCTTCACAAAGTCAAAAGTTCTGGCTAGATAAAGAAACCCTCAAAGATTACAAAGAACGAGTGGATAGAGCTACGATAGAAGCAGAAGTTCGGGTTATACCGGAGCATAAGGCTGACACCTCTGGATGGTGCACGGACGAAATAACGGTTGTAGGCGGGCAATTGGCGGCGTTGAAAATGCCGTCATGACTTTAAGTCCGACAATGCGCGACAGATAATGCAATCTCACAACGTGTTCCTCATGTCATACTACACATTTCCCGTGCTGTCTCCACCCTGTTTCCGACAGCCATGATACATGGCTTGTCTGCTCTTCGAAGAGCACCTGCGCAACATGCGACATCACGATTGCTGACGTCAACCTTCTCCCCCACGCGACTCTACCAGGCACCACTCGCGCGCCGCCTTCAAACACAGCAATGGGAGCCTCTGCGCCCGCCGAACCCCGCAGACCTACCGAAACCACGACAACGTAAAGTCAAACCTCCGTTTACCCGCCGGAAATGGGTGCGCCGCCTTGCTGTCGTCTCTGCACTGCTCGGTGCTGGGTGGCTAGCTGACCGGCAATTCTACGCCTCGTCCATCACACGCAGTTTGCGCACATTCAAGACCGGCCTCTTGATAGGCATAGACTACAAGATCAACTTCCGTGCGCATCCTCCCCTTGCGAACAGCATTGAAGAATTGCATGCGCGGAATGCGCAGAGGATATTCGACCTGCTGCGGTACAATGGCGGACTATACTTGAAGATTGGCCAGGCGATCGCTATGCAGAGCGCGATATTGCCACCACAGTTCCAGAAGATGTTCCAGCAAATGTTCGACGATGCGCCGCAGAACGAATGGTGGGAAGTCGAGCAAGTCATACGAGAGGACTTTGGCAAAAGCGTCGAGGACGTCTTCGGTGTCAGCTTCACACGGGAAGGACAGGACGGTCGGGGTATAATGGAGAAGACTGCAAGGGCTAGCGCGAGTGTTGCGCAAGTACACTGGGCAAGATTGGCAGACGGAAGAGAGGTGGCCATCAAGATTCAGAAGAGAGAGATTGCCCAGCAGGTGGGATGGGACCTATGGGCTTTCAAGGTCGTTTCCAAAGTGTATACCTGGTGGTTCGGCATCCCTGTTTACACGCTGGTTCCATACATCTCGGAGCGCCTAATGCTGGAAACGGATTTCGAGAACGAGGCAGACAACGCGGTAGAGATGAAGGGGCTTGTGGCCGGAGAACCGCGACTCAACGGTCGGGTCTACATACCTGCTGTGTATCGCGAGCTTTCAAGCAAGCGTGTCATGACTGCGGAGTGGATCGAAGGTGTACGATTATGGGACAAGGAGGGCATCACAAACAGCTGGAAGGGTGGATGGCGCAGAGGCAGCCCCGGTGCAGGTGGTAACCAGCTACCACCAATCCCCCGAGACGCTAAGATCGATACACATGCGCCGGAGGACGCCACACAGCACGAGTTCTTCAAGCCTGACCGTAGTTCATGGAGAGGTAACGACGAGAAAGGCGGCCTCGGCGTCTCCCTGAAGACCACCATGAACACTATCGTCGATCTCTTCTCAGCACAAATGTTCCTCTGGGGTGCGGTACACTGCGACCCCCATCCAGGAAACATCTTCGTCCGCCGCCTGCCTAACGGACAGCCGGAAGTTGTCCTCATCGATCACGGCCTGTATATCCGCATGGACCCCAAGTTTCGTCTCCAATACGCTGAATTCTGGAAGTCACTTCTCGCTTTTGACAACGCCAAGATCGAGGAGATCGTCACCAGCTGGGGCGTAAAGCACGCCGACATATTCGCATCAGCAACACTCATGCGTCCGTACGAAGGTGGCGACAAGAGCGTAGCAGGTGTTCTCAAATCCGAAATGAAGGGAAAAGACCAAGCGGAGCGAGCCTTTGAAATGCAAGCCAAAGGCCGCGACGCCATCAAGCTCATTCTCGGCGACGACGCGAAGTTTCCACGTGAACTTCTCTTCATCGGCCGTAACCTACGTATCGTACAAGGCAACAATCAATTCCTCGGTTCACCTGTCAACCGCATCAAGATCACTGGACTATGGGCAAGTAGGGCTTTGATCGAATCCAAAGATCTGAGTGTGAGCCAGAGATGGAAGAACTGGATCCAGCATCTGCGCTTCCGGTTCGTGCTTACACTCAGCGATGCGGTCTTCCTCTGGAGTAAGCTCAAGCAATTGGTCGGTGTGGGCGGAGGTATGGAGGATGATATCGAAGCGCACATGCGCGTCATGGCGAAGGACTTTGGCGTTGATCTTCAACATGGCGTCTTTGAGGGCTAGTAGTTGTATAATATATTTAATTCCCCTCATATAAGCAGCCATGCCTTTTATGAATTATGACGGTATAGGATTGGTTGTCCTAGTATTGTATGTGCATGACGAACCCGTTAAAGAGTTGTTCCATGTCACTATCTGCCTGTGCACCACGAACATCTACTCTCAAACTTAGCGAAGCCCGTGGAGACTACTGGAAATCATCATCTACTACGGTCTCATAACAAGCCCCGAAAAAGACCTAATCCGCGCGTTCCTGAACAAAGTTCACGCAAAGAATGCCCCGCACTAGCATCCCGCTCGACATTTCCGAACCTCCCCACATCCATGGATCTTTCCGGCATCGCGCCAGGCAGGCCCGGTTGAACATATATCCACCATAGACTCAGATCCTAGCCCTTCAAATACATAGAACACTGCTTGTAGCAAGAGTAAAATTTCCATCATCAACTCATATCTACTGCAAACAATGGCACCAAACTGGGACAGACTTATCCGCTTCATCGCCACAGATGGGCGTGAGCTGCGGGGTCAACCAATCCTCCCCTCGCCAGAATTCGATGTCGGTACGACGACAGAAGAGACGGGACTAAAGGCCAAGGTAATCGATGTCAAGAACAATGACATCTTCGACCCCGCCACCAAGGTTACCGATGAGGAAGTCACCGTCAAGAAGCTACTAGGTAAGTTCTGACTGTACGAAGTGCATGTGAGACATATACTGACTTTGTACCTCTACCTCTTCAGGCCCCGTGACCACAGACGAAGTACCCATCATCCGGTGCATAGGTCTAAACTTCATCAAACACAGTAAGTTCCTCTGTGATCTCGTTCCTCTCCCAAAAGAAAAGACACCCCATTAACCTCGCCACCGCAGTCCAAGAAGGCGGCCGCACCCTCCCTCCTTTCCCCTCAACCTTCATCAAAGCCAACACCTGCCTAAACGACCACAACGCGCCCATCATCATCCCCAAACTCGCCCAAGACAACCAAGCCGACTACGAAGGCGAACTCTGCTTCATAATCTCGCAAGACGCCAAAAACGTCTCCGAAGCCGACGCCTTCAACTACATCGGCGGCTACACCTCCGGCAACGACGTCTCCTCACGAAAACTCCAACGCGACCCCCTCCTCGCCGGCACAGTCCCACAATGGAACTTCTCCAAAGGCTTCGACACATACGCGCCTTTAGGCCCTCAACTCGTCTCCCCACGCGTGATTCCCGATCCGTCGAAACTGCACCTCAAGACTGTGGTGAATGGGGATCTGAGACAGAGTTCTGGGATTGACGATTTGTGCTTCAAGATTCCGACGTTGGTGAGTTATTGTAGTCAGGGGACTACGCTGAAGAAGGGTACGGTTTTTATGACGGGGACGTGTGCGGGCGTGGGGTATGCGATGAAGGAGCCGCAGTTTTTGAAGCCGGGGGATGTCGTGGAGGTTACGCTTAGTCCGGAGATTGGGACGTTGAGGAATACGGTCGAGTATGCTTAGGTGGTGGGTGGGTTGGGGGATTGGGCTGAGGGTGTGGGTACGGGAATCTGGATGGAGATTGTATGTACAATGGTTTTGGATATCCGTTTGATGCTTCGAATGCATACAGATCTTACACCATTCCCATAACTAGAATTTGAAGCTCGTGTATAAGAATTGTTGCGATTCTCCAGCAAAGCCCACTAGACTGGGATATAAAATCATGAGTCGACGACGGTGAAAGTAATGGGTCTATTGGTTGTACACGATTTAGCTGATCATGTCGCGTGCATATTGTTCATTATATATTCCGAGTAAACAACACGCACCACTAAGCCCATATATATGATAGCATGATAGGATACAGGCGACTTTTGAGAACAAGAAACCGTCTTCCCCGTCTAAACCTTCCCATCAAATCTTCGACCTCGCCTTACTCTTCTCTTCCATCTCCCTTCTCTTAATCTCAAACCTCTCCATAGGCGCCCCCTCAACAAACCGCTCCGCCAACGCATCCACAGCATTAACCACAGCCACCAACCTCGCATCCCTAATCGGCGCATTCTGCAACCTCTTCATCTCAATCATACTCTTGCCATCATTCACTTTAAGCTGTTCCTCCAAGAACGCCACAACCTTGGCATGGAATTCGTCGCCAGTAGCATCCCACACGTAATTGTACAAGCCGGCATCGAGCAGCTCTTGCGCGGAGAGCTTGCGGCCAAACATGAGGAAGTCGTTTGCGCGGTGGATGCCGATGGATTGCGCGAAGGAGATGGCGGAGCCGTTTTCGGGGACGAGACCGAGGGCGGAGAAGGGGCATTGGAGCCACGCGGTTGAGGAGGCGAGGACGATGTCGGCGATGCCTGGGAACCAGGCTGCGCCGCCGCCGACGGCTGGGCCGTTGAGCGCGAGGATGAGGACTTTGCGGTGGCTGTGGGATGTTAGTGTTGCTGTGTGGGAATACATGGGTATATGTGGACTTACTCGATCATCGAACGTAGAAGCTCCGTTGCTGTGCCCATGTCAGAGTTAGTACTATAATCCGGAGGTGCCATCACAATTCAACATGAAAGTAAAGTTGCGGCGTAGGCAAGATCAAGGGTTGGACATACCATAGCTGAACCTTGACATATAACTCAGCTTCTTCTCAGCATCGTTCTTGAAGGCTTCGCTGCCTCCCCCCGCGATCCCCTTGACGTCCGCGCCAGCCGAGAAGAAGCGTCCCTCGCCTGTTAGCACGGTGAAGATAGTGTCTGGGTGCTCATTGAGAACGCGTAATCCGGCGATGATGTCGGGAATGAGGTTTCCGCCAAAAGAGTTCAGGGCCTTGGGCCGGTTGAACTGAAGGATTTGTTAGCGGACGTATACTGTGATGTTTACCCATGGGTGAATTGGCAAGATCGTCCGGACGGATTCGGGAGTGTGCCGCACGGATGGAAGATGGAGTCTTTGAATATTACCTTAATGATACCGATCTTGCCCTTGATCTCGAACTTGATATCCGAGTAATCCGATGAAGAAGTCATGATGTTTATTTTCCTGGCTCTTTCACGCTGTCCTTTGAGGCGGTAGAGCAGATATCCGATTACAATGTCGCGAAGATTCTCCTATCACCACTCTGTTTTAGGTAGGTGGACGGTGAGATGGGTGTGGAAACTTCAGACTTTCGAGACGGAGTGTACTAAGTGGAAGATGAATAGTAAGCTTTCCCCGCAAGACGCGACAGGCCTCGGTTCGGGCGACAGAGCGAAGTCTCGTGTTGTATATTGACGAGTCAGACCATATAAACGCGATCTAAAGAACACAGCAATGAGATGTTATGCTTTGATGCTGCTTGCGTGATGAGAGATGATGCAGCGAGGTGGTGTAGTCGCGTACCTGTGCATGGGTTGCTGACAATACTGTGAAGAACGATGTCGCGTTTTACCTCGGCAGGGTTACGAGGCACGTCATCACGGGCTACTACATCCACAACATCGTACGCACAGCACATAAGCCTTGACGGACTCAAGTGCGGAAGTGGCCTGATTGCTTGTTCTTTTTCAGGGAGAGGCGCCATACGAAATCCAAGATGGTACATCGTACTGGCCGCATGACACGCACGCGTACACTACGTAAAGCAGTCAAAGTCACTCTCTGAAGCCACATTTCGCAGAACGTGCATTACTTGAAATGACAATAATCACGTATCTGTTCATTCACTGAGTATAAAAGAAGAAAGCTGCATCATATTCTCGTTAGAGCTCGAAGTCTAGCTTGAGTCTCCACCCGTAGTTCTTTACTGGCCTATCAAGCAAGCCAAGTTACAAGCAGTATACCAGTCACGGGCATCACACAAGACATTCAATCAGCGGTGCGAGAAAAGCATATAATTCCAAAGCAAACAAACTAAAAGCACCATCACTCGCACCACACATCCCCTTTCCTCATCTCCAAGCGCAATGGTTGTGGCGAGCTAGATGTTCCTTTCTCGTCCCTGGAAGCAGCCTCCTTGATGGAGATCCGTCAATCATGCGGACTACTAGCCGCCAACCCCATTGCAACCCTTCGAGTCTACCAGCCAAGCTTCAGTCACATACACTCTTCGCCAGATACAATTTGAGATCGTCCCCTTGTTAAGCTTTACCTCCCCACAAGCTGGCAGACATGTCCGAAGGGGGGAAACTCAAGGAAAGTACTAAGAACCACATGAAAGGACGAGGGGGCAGGGGATAATTAATGCGAGGTGAAAGCCGTAAAGTCAAACAAAGATCAGTCATCAGCTGGAGAGCTGCCCAGTAACACTAGCTGTGCAAGACGACCAAGATAATCGGTTGGCTGTAATCCGGAAGGAGTTGAGATGTGTTTACAAGCCGAACTGTGATGTCAAATGGAGATACCGTGTGGGTCGAGCTTCCAGAGATGTGAGATAGTCGTCAGAGACGCATGGCCATGAGAAACGCAAGACAGTGGAATGTCTTCCTAGGTCCGTACGAGGTGTCTGACGAATGGATCCCATGAACTGATCAAGGAGCGACGCCGTCCAATATGTTGCCAGGACGGCAATGCCGCATTTCCCATTCGTTGTGTGTGCGGAGCCGCGTCAGAAGAAGCGGTCACGCAAGAGTTGAGATGACGAATCGAAAGCCGCATCAAATCAGTAACCAGATGCATACTGGTCCCCGCCACGCTTATTGGCCGAACGAAGCTGCCTGAAAGAAGGAAGAAGGTTAGTAAAATCTGGATCTGGCGCCCCCCGCGCTAAGCGTTCTCAACACCAAACGCAAAGGAGAGGGTCCCTTACGAGGATCAGATATATCGAACTCACATTCCGGTGCCCTCCTGGCGCGCGTTGACCGGACCGCGCTTGGTGCCAGCTGCCGTGCCCGCGTTGGCAGCGGCGGTGGTGGTGACGTGGCGTCCGCGGCCCTTGTCGTCTTCCTCGCCCTGGCCCTGGTTGGCAGCCTGGGCGATGGCTTGGGCATTCTTCTGGTACTTGTAGACGGTCCAGTCGAACACGTAGTCGTACTGGAAGCCTTCACGGACGAAGAGGTCGCGGAAAATCTTGCGGAGGTACGAGTAGTCGGGCTTGTCATCGAAGCGGAGGGAACGGGTGTAGTTGAGGTAGATGGCGAACTCGTTGGGGAAGCCACGGCAGAGGACCTCGGTGGGAGTCGTCATCTTCTTCTCCATGATGCGGTCGTATTTCTGCTTCTTGGTGGCCGCCTTAAGACCCTGCCAGGGAAGGGATCCACGGCAGAAGTAAAGCATGACATAGCCCAGAGACTCCATGTCGTCACGGCGGGATTGTTCTGTTGATGTTAGCTCAGCAAGTCGGATGGCGTGCGGGATACGTACCGACACCCAAGTGAGTGTTGATGGAGGCGTAGCGGGCGGTACCAGTCAAGTTCTTGTTCTCTCTGTACGGGATGTGGAAGTGCGTCTTGGGATCGCGGTACTTCTTGGCCAGACCAAAGTCGATGACATTGACCTGGTTGCCGCGCTTGCCAATGCCCATAAGGAAGTTGTCGGGCTTGATGTCGCGGTGGATGAAGGACTTGGCGTGGATGTACTCAATGCGGGAGATGAGCTGATCGGCGAGGAGCAGGACAGTCTTCAGGGAGAACTTGCGGTTGCAGAAGTTGAAGAGGTCCTCGAGGGAAGGGCCGAGCAGGTCCAAGACCATGGCGTTGTAGTCGCACTCGGTTCCGAACCAGCGGACAAAGGGGATGCCGACACCGCCAGCGAGCGACTTGTAGACGCGGGCCTCATATTCGAGCTGGGGGTGCTTCGCCTTGACGCTCTCGAGCTTGATGGCGATCTCCTCACCAGAGATGATGTTGGTACCTGTAGACGTCAGCGGTGCTGGGGCGTTGGGCGACGGGCGGCGGCTACGTACCGAGGTAGATGTCACCGAAACTGCCGCTACCAATCTTGCGGCCGATTCTGTACTTGTTGCCGACGCGGAGGTCCTGCTACTGTCAGCCTGGGGTCCTGCGGAGAGGTGCTTGGCCGCCGTGGTGACGGCAAGCGGGGTTGGGGCGTACCATTGTCGTCATGCTTGCAGAGGTGCAACCTTGAGGAGGTTGGCCTGTGGTGGAGGGAGGTGTTGAGGGGGGTGGGTCGAGTGTTGTGACAATGGGGGCGCGGTGGTGTTTTGAGGATCAGCCTGCTGCGGTGGACCGGTCAGTATGAGGCTTTAGCCAACAAGGCGGTGAGTAAGCGGAGCGGGCAGCCGAGAAACGCTAGGGGAGGCAGTCGAGCGTGTTGACCGACAGGTAAAGGAAAGGCCTGCGGAGCAGGTGCGTCGTGGTGAGAGATAAATAGGGCACGGGGGGCAGAGGGCGGAGCCGACTGACGAGCTGGGCAGGACTTACTGTAGGGCGTGAATGAGCCCAACGATCAACGATGCCGGCGAGCGTAGGTGCGGGCTGGCGGGCGGGCGAGGTTTGCGACTCTAGCAAAAACGACACAGAGAGGCAGCTGCAGGGCACGGGACAGCACAAGAGGCCGGTGGAACAAGCACACTGTGATCGTGGTGCTGTATCAAAGGAACGCTGATGGCAAGATGCAGAGAGCCACCTGCCTTGTATTCGGCCACCGTGCTTGGCGCGCTAGCGAGCTCTTTCACCGTGGACTGCTGCCCGCTGCCCGCCGCCGTGTATCAAGCCTGCGGACCGCAAATCGCATCCCTGAGCCGCTCGGAGGCATCGCGACCCATCGCACCGCCGTTTGCGTCGTGCGTGTCCGCACATGTCCAGGGTGTCACTGTCAAGATGCCTCCCGTTTCAAATGCCGTCGCCTGACTGCCGCATCATGCGACTGAGCCACAGATCTGCCCCTTTATGCATCTCGCGCAGTTCGCGAACCGATTGCGCTATATTTGACTTTGACCAAGAACGTTCTGCAGACGCCGTCCCGCTGCTAGAATGAAATTTCGTCGTAGCCGATGTTCTGGAAAGACTGCGGCCCGAAACTGTCTCGTGACGAAGGTCGGGTACGGCAAACACATCATATTTCAGACTAGGCAAACACCACTTGCGTATAACAGTTTCATCGTTCAAAGCCAGAAACTACCCCATGAAGAGTGTCCCGTATATCCGTACAAGCCCTTTCAACAACACAATAGCGCTCGGCGAGATGCTTTTTTATTCGGAACAAAGGAAAGCATCAGTCCCACCCCATTTAAGGGAAAAACCGAACACCTAAGAGCCTACACCAAGATAAAAGCTTGCGAAGTTAGTAGCCTAACGGCGACGTAGGCTCCTAGGTGTTCAGTTTTTCCCTTGTATAAGGTGGTCCCAACACCATCTCCCAACTCTCTCGCTGTGACATCACATCTGCAGAACTCTTCGGACTATCTAGTTATGCCTGCTAACCGAACCCGCTATACTTACTGTATGAAGCACCGCGTAGCATGTGCCCATGATCTGATACTCAGCATCACATCCCGCCTCTCATAGAGAAGACAGTTATACAATCTCCTTTGTAGAGCTGCTCAGCTATGTCAGAAACATTCGATACCGGAAACATCCGAATACCATCTTGACAGCGTACACCATCAACATTTAGTGGCAAATAGCGTCGAAGGGAAATTGGAACAGTCTGTAGGTCAAACATAGTCCAGCAGCAGGTGATCTGCATGCGGAAACCGCCTGGTAGATGGGATTAAACCCCACCATATCTCTGATCCTCTTGGGTTGAGCCGAAGTACGCTCCCTGGCAACGTGGTAGCGATTTCTGCGTGGAAAGTTGCCTGCAATTCAGTTGACACGCACTCGCATGACCAGAGCCGCAGAACAAGAGAGATGATATGTTCGTGATGGGTTGATTTTGCCAAGTCTATACAGCCATCTCAGTCGGAGACCTTGAATGATCCTCCTCCTCCGCGGCTATTATACACTGCCTCTGATTGCACTCGTATGCTCAAAGACCGCTCCCCGTATCGCGAAGTATCCTGCTTAGTGGTTCGGCGCCTGGTTCTTGAGGGCTGGGTTGCGCGGGTCGTTCTTGTACTCATCGGCTGTGCTGGTCAGCCTGCGAACATGGATCGAGCTGGATGGCTTCGTCTCTGGGATGGGGATTACGTACACTGGGCCATGGCGTTGGCGGCAGAGTTGACACCGTAGAGGATGACGAGGCCTATTGACTCTTGTTAATCCTGTCTCACACTGCGAGCCCTCGGCTCCCAAGCAATTCCATCTCCTTCCGGTCCATCAATTGGGCTCCTCCAAGTATTCTCTGCCCTAATCTAAGTCGCGCAACGTACCGGAGACGTAGAAAGGCCACATGGGCTTGGCTGTAGTACCTCGTTAGCAATCTTTTCAAGCTCGACTTTCCACTATCTGCGCGTGCAGGGTGTCGTACCGATTTGCGCCGGGAACTTCCTTCCGAGAAGAGGCATTGTGACGTGTGTTGGAGGGGCAATGGACTGATTTGACGGTTGCGGCGAGGGATGCGGTGATGGGTTGAGCTCCGCTCGAAGAACAGCCCTGGAGATGCTTGGCGTCTGCGCACGGATCCCTCACCCCATTGTACTAAGAGGGAGCAACATCCCACTTCGCTCGCGTCCAGATCACACTTGCGATTGCCGAACCGATCACAATCATGGCGCTGGAAGGATGCGTAGGCTCGCTGCGCAGTAGTATGCAATTACTCGATTCGTCTATCAACATACTGGACCAAGGCGTGAGCGACTTCCCTCGATTGGCCAAAGTACTGCAGACGACACGGGTGTGTACACGTTAAGAACATGATTCTACCTTCATCGTGTTGACCCTGGAACAGCATTTCGAGCTCATCTCCGAGTCTGATCTCCAAACCGCGCAATCAGCACTCCTCTCAGAAATCCGCCCTGAAGTCGATAACCTTCTTAAGCGCGTAGAAAACTACCTCGACAAGCTGGAGCGTCGCGAGCAATCCTTGATAGCGAAATGCGATTTGAACGACGGCAGACTCGGACGCGACAACAATGGCAGCTCAGGCTCCAGACCAGCCAGCAGGACCGTACAGCGAAGCGGAGGCAAGACCATCAGCGCGCAACAAGAGATGAGGATGAAGACCTTGAAAGCGAAGAAGGATAGGCTTAGCTATGCCGTAGAGACGCTAGAGTTGCAGGCGAAGCAGAGAGAGCGGCAGTTGCGGATGAGCATGGCCGCACCGCAGCAGTTATATGATGATTGATGTTCTGCTACATTTGGGTAGAGAAAGCATCAGTTAGTCCATTAGTGATGGGATGGGCCGCATCAGTTCACAATCTTGGAATAGGCGTTTTGGCAATAAGATACCCTGGAGTAGTTCAATACAGACATCATATCATACCACGTAATACCAAGGAACGCAACCAGACGTGAATCTTCGTTCAACCTGGGACGCCTGGTGCACAAAGATGGTCCACCACAATAGTGGGAATCAGCACTTTGGGTTGACGCGAATGACATGTGCTTTGTTCCACGATAACAAGTTACAAATGATAGTGCATAGCTTTAAACGTGTAATAAAGCGAAGAAAGTAAGCGTTTTCGGGTGGTGTTGTGATACCCAGTTCAGGTGGTCAAGATGTTGGTGATGCGCTAGCGTCGGCTAACCCCGTGACCTGAGGGAGCGCAGAACTCGCAGAACACCGACATTGAACATTCTCCGACCACATCTTCCCCACCACCCCGTCCATCATGAGCTCTCTCCGCATCGCCCGAGCTGCCCTCCGCGCAAGGCCCGCTGCCATTGCCCGCCCCATCCAGCGCAGAGGGTACGCCGAAGTCGCCAATGACAAGATCAAGCTCTCCCTAGCTCTTCCGCATCAGGTACGCCATACCAGCTGTCGCAACATGCGGGGGCATACCCCAGGTTGCAATTGGCATCTGAATTGAGAGGCTAACCGGTGGTCAACAGTCTATCTACAAGTCCCAGGATGTGTACGTCGTTCGAGACCCCGGCCGATCCCGCAAAGCGAAATCGCGAATACTGACATGAGATGTTTTACAGCGTCCAAGTCAACCTCCCCGCGGAGACCGGTGACATGGGTGTTCTGGCCAACCACGTTGCCTCCATCGAGCAGCTGAAGCCCGGCCTAGTCGAGATCATCGAGGAGCAGGGTGGCAGCAAGCAATTCTTCCTGTCTGGTGGATTTGCCGTTGTGCAGCCCAACTCCGTCCTCAGCATCAACGCCGTCGAGGGCTACCCATTGGAGGACTTCAGCGCCGAGGTACGAGCGGATGCACGGAGATGGGGAATAACGACTGACAAGGAGATAGGCTGTCAGGAACCAGATCGGCGAGGCACAGAAGATTGCCAGCGGAAACGGCAGTGAGGCTGACATTGCTGAGGCCAAGATCGAGCTCGAGGTACGCACCGCAAACCCATCTTAGCAAGAAGCGCTGACAAGACCCAGGTCCTCGAGAGCCTGCAGGCTGCATTGAAGTAAATGTGTAAATAGCGTTCCTTGAGTACGGCATGCGCGGTATGTATAGTAGCAAGCACAGAGCATGCGTGCTTTCCGTGGTCAAAGAATAGAAGGAGCTCCCTGAGGTGACCAAAACATTCCAAACATCTTGCAGTTTCGCTCCTCTTGACCACATTCCTCTGCAATCCGGACCGACCGTACCTTAGCCCACCAGCAACCCTACGAGCTACACTACTTTTATTGTTACCCTTCTATCAGTTTGTCTTACTTCTTTAGCACCCAGTCTTACTCTGTCTTACTTCGTTACAGCTTGTCTTACTTCACCACAGCGATCGCAGTTTTCCTTACACACAATCAACAGTTACCACGCGTCTACAACATCACCCTTCTCACGTTTGCAACGCATTATCCAAAAGTTTAGCGTCTCATGCCCCGAGGCTTCGACCAACCCACGTCAAGTTCTGCGTCCCGAGCTACCAATGCGGGACTACGCGAGCAGAGCAATCAACCATCAAACATAAGAACTAGACAGGGTCGGTTCGAAGCTCCTGCTACGATACCGGGAGCCGGAGAGGCGAAGCAACCATACCCGACCACATCCAGACGCAAGTCTAGTAGTCCCTCAGCTTTGCCCCTCCCACAAGCATTGAGCGAACCTCAACCGCCTTCTTCCGGACGCAAATCGCCTGCCTATTTGCAAGGCAGGAACCCATATGGCCGAGTCTTGGACAAGGTCCAGCATCCGTACCGGGAGCCCGAGGCAGTGACAACAGCACCTGTACCGCCTTCCCAAGCTGGCTCCAATATCGGTTCACGGTCACCTGCGGTGGGCGTCACAGACTCCAAACAACAATCTCTGGCCCAAGAGCCGGGTCGACGCGGCACCCAGACAACATACCCGCCATCAAGACAGCCACAGGTCCCCAAGTCAGTTCGCTCTGCCAAGGACTTCTTCGAGACGGAAGCCTTTCAACGTCCGTCAGCATCCCGTCCCCCACCTTCAGTTCCTGGTACCAGTGCCGCGAAGGCGCTCGCACCCCAAACCTACCCCTCTAGTTCCTCTCTCGAATCTCCTGCCCATGCTCCCAACCCGAAGTTGTCTTCTACTGCTGACGAGCAAGCCCTCGATACTGGGCTGCTGTTGTCTTCTCTCACGGAATTTTACGATACTCGCGAATCTGTGCAGTCCGTGATCCCCTACAAACAAGGCGAAGCCGATGAGAGCGCTCCCATGATCACGACACAGAAAGCAACGCCTCCGGCCGTACCATCTGATCAGGGAGAGGAGCAGTATTTTTCCGACATAGAGCGAGAATCCATTGGTCGTCGGAAGTCTACCAACATCTTTGCAGGCAAATCCGACGGTGCAAGGCTTCCAAATTTCGGCCAACAGACTGTACAGGACAGCTTTGCAAGCGATGATCCCTCCAAGAGGCCACTTACTGACACTGGCGGAGCCAACCCGGTTGATCACAGAGCCCCCTCTGATGAGATTGTGAGGAGTCTCGCTACCCGCAGTTCAATACCAGCTGCTGAGACCAGGCAAGCCAGCAATCCGAACCCTCCGTCGCAACAGGAAGGTAGACGTGCGAAGTCTGGTCGCGATCTTCGAAGGACTTTCGAGGAAGACAACGGGATTTCTCCCAAACGGCTCAGGCGCAGTGGATCACACACTGCTTCTTTGACAGAGAGTGGTACTTCAGCAAAAGAACCCGTCGATCGTGTCGCGGAGTGGACCCAGAGTACGGATGTTGGAAATCCTCGCAACCAGTCTGGGAAGTCCATTGGTGTGCGTAGACAAGCTGAGGAGATCGTGGCAAGGAATCTCGGCCACGACGGTGCAAGCGACATGAGTGTCTCCCGACAAAGCTGTATCTCAGGCTCGATACCAACTGCCAACATTGGTGTCGAGGAGCAGTATGGCGAGACCAAAGTGCCGGACGATGTCGACAACCGCCAAGGGTACGGACGTCGCGTCACACAAGATTTCGGCTTCCCAGGCGCACGGATTAAGTCGTATGGCATCAACAAGACAAGCCGACCGTTAAGAGACCCTGGCAATTGGACTAAGCGAGCGTGCGGACACTTCTCATACATGGGCAAAACCGAGCACCGCGAGCATGCACAAGAGAAAATATGTCGGCAATGTTCGACCCGAGTACCAGTGCTTGAAGAGCTACTGTCTACGAAGCGGCGGACACGCAGACGAGCTTCATCAGAATCATTGACCTCTACAACCCCTTCATCGAAAATCTCCACAGATGACTGTTGCCGCCGGCAGAGGCGTCGTCGGTGTCACTCTGAAAGCATGTCGCTTGACAGATGCGGAGATAGATTTGCTGATGAGTTGGGTCATATCATCGACAATATTCTAGAAGAGCATGCAAACACACTCCAGAATGTCATCAGCAACATCAAGAACACCCAACCCAGTTTCGACCAGCTTCGAAGGGTGTCTGGAGATCTTGTTCAGCGATGCAATACCAACGCATGTGATAGGAATCGTTGCCAGACATCCTGTCATCCAGCACGAGCATCCTGTCGACGGGACGATGATTGGCATCCACCTTGCCCATATCTCCCACCCAAAGCGGCAGAGAAACTCAATGTTGGGGCTACAGGCCAAGTCAAGCCGAACCTTAACGATCCTGAATCGAGCCTGCGTGAAGAGGTGCAGTCAATACCCGACCTGGTCGATCTTGTCAAATCTGCAGCCGACGATCTCGGCTTCGATCTTGACCGAAGACCCACCGCGACCGACGATGACGAGTTCCACAACGCCCCTTACGAGGCCACACCCATGGATTCTGTCTCACGTCACACGGATGTCTCCTTCGGGACGACAGAAAACAGGGCGACGGAGGACGAGCCGCTTACTGAGGACAGCTGGCTACAGCAAACACGTAGACACTTGACCGAACTCTCAGAAGCCCGAGAGCAGCTTATGGACGAATTGGATTCCATCGCTGGAGATCTCGACGTGAAATTCCGAGACCAACCCGAGGTTGAGTCGGTGACTGATTCGGATGCACCACATGCACACCGTGTACTCAGCAAAGCTCCCACAGGTCTCTCGCGTACATCCACATTACAGAGAGACGCTCTTATCGACTCAGTACAGCGTATGCTCAGCAAAGCGCCTACTGGCATCTCACGCAGCTCTACATGGCATGAGCAGAATCAGGGAGAAGAGGCTACTGATGACCTCGATATCAGCAGAGCGCCTACTGGCATCTCACGCAGCCCTACGTGGCATGAGCAGGGTCAGGCGTTGACTGCTGATGACCTCGATTTCAACCCGGCACAGCGCAGATCAAGCAAAACTCCTACCGGTCTCTCACGCACTTCTACTTCGCAGAAAGAAGCTATGATCGACTCGGTACAACGTGTGCAACGTGTGCTCAGCAAGATCCCTACCGGCCTCTCACGCAGCGCTACACGGCATGGAGAAGATGACGGAGATGAGGAAGAGAAAGAAGCAGTCGATAATCGCAGTCTCGGACTTGTGCAGCGTGTACTGAGCCCAACCCCTGCAGACTTCTCGCGCAGGTCTACATCGCAAGCAGATGCCATCGTCGACTCGGTACAGCGCGTGCAACGCGTGCTCAGCAAGGTTCCTACTGGCCTCTCACGCAGCTCTACATGGCATGGAGAAGACGAGGAGGCCGTCGAAGACCCCGACATCGAGCCAGTGCAGCGTGTGTTGAGCATGTCACCTCCTGGTATCTTACAGGCCTCTACGTGGATCAGGGACGCTTCTGTCGACGCAACGCGACGTGTACTCAGTAAGCCTCTTACTGGCCTCCTGCGCGATACTACCTGGCATAGCATGGGAGACGACCCAGCAGACAGTTCTTTCGTCGAGCCCGTACAACGTGTACTCAGCAAGGCTCTTACTGGTCTCTCGCGCAACTCTACATGGCAAAAGGATGATGATGCACCGGTAGACGAATCCGTTGTTGAAAGTGTGGAGCGTGTACTCAGCAAGGCTCCTACCAGCGTCTCACGCGAATCCGAATAGGAGGAGGATACGCCTACTGACTTCGATACTACTCAGACTGGTCAGCACGATGATGAAGACGAGTCGTTCGGGGAGCCTACGCAGCCTACACTCGAAAAGGTCAACACTAGCCTCTCACGCGCATCTACGTGGCACGGTAACAGACCTGTCGAAGATGAAGAGCCCGGAGCTGACGTTCCGGGTCTCCATGAGGATGATCTGGTTGCCACAATCGTACGGAATGTTCTCAGCAAGGTGCCCTCTGGCTTCTCACGCGCATCCACATGGCAGGACAACAAGACTGTCGACATTGAAGACATCGGGGCTGACGTTTCGGATCACCAGGGGGATCTGGTTACCGCAATGGTGCAGCGTGTTCTCAGTAAAGCATCCACTAATATCTCGAGCAAGCCAACCTGGCCCAGTTCTAAGACTCTCAACACCACCGAAGATGAAATCCAGAGCGTTGTCGATAACAGTGTTGACGAGCTTCGGCTTAGTCGCGCACTGACTCGGATTCTCAGCCAACCGAAAGAGCCTCGATCTGTTGGTCAAGAGCCATACAAGGCTGAAGACGTTTCGCCTGAAGAGATCTAGGAGGTGTTCCGAGTGGCGAGAGACGAGCTTCCGGCTGCTGTTGCTTCGATCACCGCCGTCTTGCAGACATTGCCAGCTGCTGAACATGCGCCCAGTGACGAGATCAGTGACGTTATGGAGCCCGATCAGCATGTTGAGCTGGCGTATGAAGCGCAAGATAACCCGCAGTATGATACAACGGACGATCCTCAAATCGAGGCGCAACTTCCGAGTCAAGTGAGCCAAGGATACGGCGAAGCCACGTCTGATACTTACAGCGACCACTACACTGTATCACCGGTCATTGAAGAAGAACCTGAGTTCCAAGCTCCTGTGCAGCGAATTCGCCGAACAAGTACAGCGCCACCTATTGGGCAACGACAAGAATCGTTCATACCTGGCTCAATACCTGTCTCGGTACCTTCCAGTTATTCTTCCGTAGTGGAAAGTTTACCGGAATCGCCCGTTTTATCACGCACAGCTTCGTTCTCCCCTACGCTTGGTACTCGCCGGACAGCTACCATGTCACCATCTCAGTTACGACAAGGTCCTTCAAGCCCACTATCTGTCGCTGATAACGCATCTGAACAACCCATTCTCTTGAGTCTAGCTTCACGCCAGCCAACGCTTGCAAGGCGCCGTACCAGTTCAGCAACAGCCAGGGTTCAGCGACAAGACTCTGTTAGGCCCGCTTCACCACCTAGTGCGGATGATTCAGAAGCACAACCTGTGATTTCGCGTGCGACTTTCCGCCAGCCTACACTGGAGACCCGCCGCACAAGCAGTGCAAAAGCCAACAACAGGCGGCAAGATTCTATCGGATCCGCTTCTCCGTCTGCTGCATATGACTTGGAAGCACAGCCAATCATCTCACGTGCGCCTACACGGCAGGGCACGTTAGGGATGCGTCGAACAAGTACCGCAACAGGTAGCGTTCAGCGCCAGGACTCTATCAGGCCCACTTCTCCATCTGTTCCTTATGACTTGGAAGCACAACCACTCAACTCGCGAGCGTCCACTCAACAGGGCACGCCAGGGATGCGTCGAACGAGTACTGCAACAGGTAGCGTCCAGCGACAAAACTCTGCCAGGCCCACATCACCACTTGCTATGGATAATTTGGAAGAAGAGCCCGTCTTCTCGCGTGCAGCTTCTCGGCAGGGTACGCTATTGGTTCGTCGAACAAGTACGATGTCGCCGACTATTGGACGGCAAGAGTCGATGTTAGCCACCTCGTTGCCTGTAGCAGAAACCTCGCTTGAGCAACCGGCTCTCTTGCGTGTGACTTCTCGTCAGCCTACGCTACCCGCCCATAGAACAGATACGACATCACCGACTATTCAGCGGCAAGAGTCGATGTTAGCCACCACGTTGCCTGTGGCAGAGCCCTCGCTTGAGCAACCGGCTCTCTTGCGTATGGCTTCTCGTCAACCCACGCTACCCGTCCATAGAACAAATACGACATCACCGACTGCCCGGCGACTGGACTCCATTGTACCAACGTCATCACCTGTTGCAGACGAATCGATTAGGCAGCCAGTTCTTCTACGTGCAACATCACGTCAGCCTACGCAAAGAGTTGAACGTACAAGCACAGTGACACCGGCTATTCAGCGGCAGCCTTCGACTATACGCACCCCCTCACCTGCGGCAGAGATCTCATCTAGGATGCCAGTTATCATTCGTGTGGCATCGCGACAGCCTACACAGGGGTCCCGTCGAACAAGCACGATACCATCAGTTGTACAGCGAAACGACTCTCCAAGGCCCGAAATCTCTCCCGTCCTGTCTCTCGCTGCGGATGACGTAAATGATCAGACGTTTCCGCCTCTTGATTCACGCCAGTCTACGGTGGAGGTCCGTCGAAGAAGCTCAGTACCGACAACTGCTCAGCCAAATGACTCTCCAAGCCTCGAAACCTCTCCAGTCCTGTCTCTTGCCATGGACGAATTGCCTGATCAGCTATATGCATACTCTGATACACGTCAGACTGCGCTCGAAGTTCGTCGGACAGGCACTGCTCCGACAGATGAGCTTGTCACATCTCCCGATCTGTTGCCTGCTGAATAGGATACGCTTGCACAGCCCATGTTATCTCGCCGGGTTTCACGTCAGCCAACGCGTAAGGTAACTATCCGTGAGGCCGAGATTTATCGTGCGCCTTCGCCTGAGCCTCCATCGGACACAGAGGACGTCCTTGAGCCGGCGATCTTGTCGCGTTCTATCTCATCCCAGCCTACGCGCATGGCTAGCATTCTTGCTATATCTAAAAGTCCTGTGGATCCGTCGAGAGAAGCAGATGATGCCGCATCCGAGCCTTCGGTAGACGCAGAAGTTACACAGCGCTCTTTCGAGCGGCAAAGAACCATTCGGAGGGAAACAATGTCCAATGAGCGGCTCACCATAGCTGACAGAACCTTGTCTTCCAGTCTTCCGCTTCGTACTCGTACTGGATCTCTGATTTTCCGAAGTGACGAGCAAGAGGTTGAAGCGCCGCTTGATGAACGAACAGAACTTGAGAGGCAGGAGGTTCCCGCATCAATCCACGTCCCTGGCCGCGATGAGGACACTGATCAGGTTGGGAGATCGCCCACGACCACTTTCGAGGCTGACTCGGAACCTTTCGCGCTCCACATGTATCAGCGAATGGCCGAGGAGCCATCTGAAGAAGAGCTTGAGCCCGAGAGCCAAAGCGCTACATCAGTTGGCGTCAACAACCTCGAAGAACCGGCTGGTCAGTTCGAAAGAGCATCCACTGCGAATGTTACATTCGATCCCGAATTACTCGCACTTGACGTCTATCAACGGATTGCCGAAGAACCGCTTGAAGAGGACTCTGAGGCTGAAAGTCAAAGCGCTATCGCGTCGACCAATGTCAACGTCATTGAGGCAACGAGTAGTCGAATCCAGAGAGCACCGACTGCTAATGTATTATCGAATCCGAACTCTTTCGCGCTCCGCGTATATCAACGCATCGCTGACGAGCCACTTGGGGAAGAACCTGAGCCCAACGCTATTGCGCCGACGAACTCCAACAGCACTGAGGATATGACTAGTCAAATTGAGAGAGCACCGACTACTCAAGTCTCTCGGACAGTGGAGTCCTTGGAACATGTCAAAGCTCGAAGCCCGACTGGCACGATTCCCCCCGTTCAGAGACGTGCTACACAGACTTCACCCGGGTATCCAGCGAACGTACCACGGGCTGTAACAATAGCTCGCGACGTAGAGCGCAAACAAAGCAGTGCTGCTCCTGACCAACTCGATAGAGCACTTACCATGCGATCCTCTCCAGCACTGGAGCCTTTGGTATATATCGACCCTGAAGGCCTGCCATCAAAGACTGTCCCTCTCGAAAGGATGAGGATACAGGCTTCACCTGAACTCTCAGTCGATGTACCACGGGCGTCAACAATACCTCTCGAATCGAATCGAAGACGAAGTAGCGCTGCTCAAGGGTTCACGCCATCCGCCCGAGGATCAGAGCCTTCAGTACACTCCAGCGCCGAAGCTGTGCTCGATGAGACCCCGCAGGTACAGGGAAGATCGAGAGTAGCGCTCACAGAGCCTCGCACAACCGATCGTCGATGCAGCAGTGCGGCCCCTGGTATCACAGCGTCTCCTCCACAGACCATCCTTGAGGGCATAAAAGTCGGAGCGCAAACTAAAAGCCAGACGAAGAAGCCGAGGCAAGGCGCGAACTACCCACCTGAGCAGCAATATCCGCCAGCGCCTGCGTATCCCCTACGGGAGACTCCCTCATGGACGAAGCCGGACACTCGAACTCCATCACCAAAGGTGAAAGCTGAGAGTCCGCCCAAGAAGAGAGGATGGCTTAATCTCGGGGCCAAGCCAGAAGAAGAGTCTTCTGAGTTAGAAGGAATCAAATCCCGTCAATCAAGCCAGCCTGCCCTAGACCCATCAGAAGTGCAGCCATTTCTGGACGCGGCACCTGGGTCGCCAGAAGCCTCAGGGGGAACGCAAAAAAGGCAAAACAGCTATCCGAACCAAACCAGACAGGCTACCTATCGTCGAGACTCCAGTGCCCCTCCTATCCGAAGGGCCGACACTCGAACCAGACAACCCTCCGTCTACGCTAACAAGGGCGACTACTACCCAGTCAGTCCGATCCTTCCAGACCGCATTGACAACGGTTCGCAGCTCCAGCCTTCACCATCTCGAAGAAACAGTTACTCCATCCCACAGTCAGCCTCAATACCCGAGAATTCGCCTCAGGACGAACCGCGTGCGGAGTACTTCCGTCGCGTCTCGTCAGGCCCCTCCCGCCGCCAATCGCAATCCCAAGGAGCTCTCTACATCCAGAAAGATGTTGCAGTCAGTTCCAAAGCACCTACGTTCCAAAATAAGCTGGAGACTGAGGACGAGACTTCTCGAACGAATCAAGAACGCCATGAAGAAGACTTCCAGGAACCCGTCCGGAGAGACGTACGCAGACCGACTGGAATGGGAAGCCCAACCTCGAAAGCAGAAGCAACGCCCAAAGAAGGAGCTCAGTCGCCTGAGACGCGGCAAAAGTTTTCTCCAGTTCCCCAGAAAGAAGGCCCGTCAGACGAAGGAGAGTCAGATCATTCGCCGAGCAGGTTTCCGGAACTGTCTGGTGCTCAAGTGCCAAAGGGACAAGAGCAAGAGCACGAGCCAACAGCACGAACCGAAGAACAAAAGCGGACTGAAGTGGTTATGGAAGAAGATCCTGCGCCTGCCGACGCCAAGGGTGCACATGATGAAGACATACCCACCCGCCGTCGCATCGATAGCTCAAGCGGGCCCTTCGAAGATGACAATGCCTGGATCAACAGCACGGTTGACCTCTCGCGCTCAAAGACCATCCCAAGAACATCCACCGGACATGAAGGTGATCGAAGACTTTCAGGTGCAAACCCAGAAGAAGCGCAAATCGCACGAGCAAACACTCGTCGTGCAACCTTAGGACGAGTGCCTGATTCCGCAACAGCCTCACAATCTGCACGAAAAGATTCAACAACCGCCACGCGAAGGCCATCGTCGTCAGTCAAGAGGACGAACACGCGACGGAAGTCATCAGCAGTCGGAGAAGACAGAGCAGCGCCAATCCTCACAGAATTACCAACGGTGTCCAGAGCACCGACACGATCGGCGACGATCCCCTCAATATCTCGACAAGCCAGTATCCGGCGAGGGTCTGCCGCTCCTCGAAGGGGTACAGCAGACTCCCCAGAAGCTTTGCCAGACATTCAAGCCAGATCAACAAAGGAAGGCAGCTCAAGATCAACCCCGCGGCAAGAGTCCAGAGGTGCGGCCTCGCCTGTCGCGGTACAACCAGGTCGACGGTCATCTACTGCAACTAGAACAGGTACGCCAATCTCCCGAGCGGCGTTACCAGAATTTGGAGCCTCAAGGAGAGGGGGAGACGGACCTATGTCGGCCACATCACAAGGGTCGCGTGGTACAATGTCGCCAGTCCCAGCTTACGACCGGGGAAGTTCTCCTGCCGGAATACAACCATCGAAAGGTTCATTGGGTACAACCCAGCGCGCAGATCAGATCTCAGACCAACAAACCCAGTCAAGCCCACGAACAGAACCAAGCGATGCGAAGCCAGCAATGCCGCGCCGAGTGACCTCATACGGAATGTATGAGTCCAGCTCTAGTGATCCGTATGCTTTACCCAAGAAGGCACCGCGCAAGGCAGCTGCCCTAGCCCCTTCAAACGCCAACGCAAGTCTGTCACCAGCGTCGCAACAGGCTGATCCCAAACCCCCGGCACTCACTCGTAGAGACTCACTAAAGCCACGGCGCAGTCCCACGTCAAGGATATCAGAACTTTTCGGGCGAGAGAAGGGCGCTAGCCCTGGGAGTGGAAGCCAACAGAAGCAACAGCAACTAGCCCCACTGGGTGCCACGAAGACCGGCTTAGCGCCTGCATCAGCTGTAGCTGCAAAGGTATCTGAGACGGATGCAGCAGTGAAGTCATCCCAAGCGCAGCAGTTACAGCCAGTGAAGGTTCAGGCAAAAGCTGCGCAAGGAAGTGGGATTACGAATCCTCTAAGAGGGCGCTGGGGATGGGGATGGGGAAGATGACCGATTCTAAGTGTGGAATTGGGTGGTTAGTGGGATTATGAGAGGATGTGATGCCCTATGATTGGTTTTGGTGCGTGGGGAAAGACAGTTCGACAACCTAAGTATTGAATTGACTACTCGAACTCCCTAATCAGCTTGTGTCACTTCCTAGAAACAGGTGATATCACAGCATCGCGTCCAAGTTGCAACTAATGGTTTAGCTCCACTCGTACAAAGGATATTGGTATTCTTCGCACCAGGTGTCTGATTTGGGTTGTTCAACTTGTAATTCGATGGGTTCAGTGTGGTAGCGAAGGCAGCTGTACCATGAGTGCGAATCCCGTGATGCCTCGGTTGCCTGTTTCTGGGGTATAAATTTTCGCGCGGGTGGTATTCTTCGCACCAAGTTGGAAGGCCTGTATACTGGTGTTGAAAAGGGTCCAATTCCAAGGCCCGAGTTCCGTCTTAACCACGTCATTTACATCTTGACATGGCTTTAGTTCCGCGCTAACCCGCACTAAGAAGCTCACTAACCGCATTATCCGGAGTACTATGTTCTCTTCCTCTATAACGTTACCTATGTTTATATAGTGCGCGACTGTTGAAAGTTTTCTGCCCCTGCTACATAGGTGCCGTCGACCAAGAGACTTCAAGCGCAGAGGGAAACAAGAGACACCCACTACGACAGCACACCCAAGACCAGCCTTACTCTAGTTCCACAACCTCTATCCCACACCAACGAGCCACTCACAATTTCAGTCAGAGTCGACGCCCCAAGCTATCTCTGGCTCCAATGTCGTTTGGACAATCTCAAAGGTCTCTATCAAAACATAGCCTATGCTCGAAAGGAAAGACACATAGCGCACGTTGACCCAATCCTGGCATGTACAGCACAGCATCCAACCTAACATCATCTTAGCTGTACTCTCGCCTATACATATTCTAGACATGCCTCGGAGTCTTTTCTTGCCTAAATTCCCTAGATCGGTCTAGGCCGCTCCTCTTCTCCCATGGCTACCTCTTCAAACTTGTCTATTGGGGTGAGACTCGCCTCCTTCTTTCCTTGCGACTTATCTGTATAGCGAGCGTTGTTACTTCCATGAACCACTTCCATAAACCAGGGCAAACACTCAGTGCGTAGTGAATATCGAGTTGTCATCACAGCGCTGTGCTTGAATGGCTTAGGGATGCTACATCCACAGTGCCCATTACAGGATGGTGTCGATGTGAAAAAACTTCTTGAATTGAGGTTCAACATTCGCAGCAAATATTCATCTACGGAATCGGCTCATGATATCATCTGTACATTTCATGAGCTGTGTAAGGAGGAAGACAAGATCTTACAAACTCACATTCAAGGCGATAAGTTTCGAGTTAAGATAAAGAAGGTGTAAGTTCGGTTAACTCCTCAACCGCCAATATATCTACCACCATATCGAGACATGACAACTGAGCTCAAAATACTTCCACTGACTGTGAATACCAACGCATTTGCGAATTCCTTCTCAGGTTCAGGAACGCTGCTATCGACATTGAGTTGTGAAAGTTCTCTTGCCATTTCTCTTTCCACTTCCACCTGGATAGCCAACGTGACAAATTTCGCGGCTTCGTCGTTGGGAAGGGAATAAGTCTTCCGAACTTCTTCCACTGTGTTCACAAGGTAGTGCACCTTTCTCTCTACGTAGGCTCTTTTCTCTTTATCGAAAGAACCAAGGTCATTTGAAATCGATACATGGTCCGCAAATAGCCTGAGAAATTTGGCAATTCTGGGGCTGGAAATGTCGACAGTTGAACAAAGAGAGAACTTCGTACACGCTATGACGTAACTGGAACTTATAATTAGTTTCCTTCGTAATGTGTAGACTATTGATCCGTACTTACGGGACAGCTGCGTCGATTATCCTATAGTCCAGAAATTCTCTCAGACTGTGGAATTCGGTGGGGGGCGGGGGGTGATTGATGAAATCCATCAATCTTGCAACTACCTCGGCTCCTCCGTCACCGATGATGCCATCTTGATCATGAAGGCCTTGGATAGTAGCATGCATGGCCTTCTGCAAGATCGAGACTGGTTCATCGTCTCCGTAAGGCATTTGAGCCTTTAGTCGTGATACGAATTCGTTCTGAAATGTTTGGATCTGCCATTCAGCTGTTAATTATGTGGAGCCTCAACAGTTTGGAACGACTCACTGTACTTTCGTCACTCATCTCCCATACATCTGTACCAGAAGTGATTAGAGTAGTAATATTTCTTGTAAGATTCCGCTTACCATCAAAGATGAAGATGTAGACAATAGTCTCAGCGATGAGTTTCAGTCGCTCCTCGCTTGCAGCCGGCCACAGATAAGCACAGAACCGAGTCCAGTTATCATGTAACATCGGCAGCTCCTTAGCGGCTATCTCAGAGTACGATTTGCCTCCATTCTTCAATATACTTGTCGCAGTTTGGTCGGAAGCAAAATGCTGTAGCAGCACTCGTGTTGCTTCTACAGCCATTGGCCAGTGTATGTTCTGTCTTACATGGTGAATCGAAGAATACCATGGAAGTTTTGCATGTACAGGAAAGACAGGAATACTGTTCATGCTAAGTCTTTCACACTCCTTGATCAAGTATCCAGTTTCAATCTGAACTGCGTTGATGACTGGCTCAACACTGATAGTCTCAGCCTTCAGATCAGGGAAGCAGGACAGGTCGACAAAAGGTGGCATGGACGCTTCATTTGTTGGCATGTAGTCGTGACTGTATCTGACTGGCCAGACAAAACCATTGTGGTCTTTGGAGTTGAACAACCCTAATGGAAGATTAGTTTCATCTAAAGTATACGACACGTAGAGCTAACCAAGGTCAATGTCTTGCTTCGCTTCCATCATGACGATCCGTTCAAGAGTAGAGAAGGGAGTAGAGTTCAGGCCGTTGTCTTTGTGCGAATACAGACAATAAATACCTTCATATACGCCTCTTAACCAGGCGCCATTGTTGTAAAGCAGGGGTACTTCTTACGTCCACGTCAGCAGCATAGTCGTGTTCAATCACCTTTGCAATCTTTCCTTAAACGTCCACAGCAAAAACGAAGCTATTCCGTTTCTTTTCATTGCCGCATATAATCATCAAAAGCCTATTGGTTACTGGCGATCCTTAGATAAAGGCGGCGAGCGTCATCAGAATCTCTTGGGCTTCCCACTCCATCCACCACAATGTAGAAATCAGAACTCCCAGCATGCTTTCAGGTAATAATGGAATCTCGGGACTGAATAACCCAAGAGTCCATCGAGCTTCTCTGAGAAGAGATCATCGTTTTGTACATGTTCTTCTAGCGATGTTGTAGTGTTGAGTTGTGGGGGTGTTGAGTTTTGTGGGTATTAATTACAAGGGCACAACCAGTTCCACGAATCACGCGTTATGGCACATCACTCACAGAGGTACGGTAAAAGACGCTATCCTGAGAGCGACCCTGAGGCGGCAATATGAGACCCACGCCTGCATCTGGCCGTGCGTTGAACAGGCATCGTCGGAGGGTTGTCGCGCTGCACTGTTGTGATGTGGAGCCCTTGACAGCTCAGCGCGGTACGGGCGGAGCATGTGGGCCGAACGACAAATAGCCAACGATAGCCAGCGACGACAGCTATCAACAGGCCACCCCCAACGCTGCATACAGCTCCCATCGTCGACATGCCACCGCCTGCTTTCTCAGCCTACAATCTGCCTTGCGATGCACCTCACGTGCGATGGTGTTTGACGTTGCGTACACCACCTCGCGCCATCTAGTCACCCACCCAGAATAACACACATGCGAAGGACTCGGCACATGACCAAAAAGAGGGCAATTTGTGGACCTGCATCAACGCATGTGGTCTGTGTACCCGCACCTTCTACGGTTCCTCTCAGCCCACTACCGTGACATGTCGCTGCGATGAGATTATCGTCCAGGATTGATTGTACTCTTGGAGAGGAAGATGATTGTAGCTTGTATTCCTGACGATTTGGGATAGGAGGCTGAGGCCATGTAGATGGGTTGTGCTGTTTGACTGTACGTGGAGGCGACGGGGAAAGAATGTGATAAGGTGAAGTCATGCAATATTATCGATTTGGATGCATGTAGAAGATTGCGTACATGTACATGTACAAGTGGGTGATGGCATGGTACTTTATCTTCAATTCCAAGGCCTGAACTGTCCAACATCGTCTTCTTCTACCCACCAAATAATGCCAATAAGAAAAACCCGTCCGCAATGCGTTCCTTTCATCCGCCTCAAGTCTCCTCTTTTCTCTCTTTCACCATCCTCACCTTCGCTCCGGACCAAGCCCATCTCCGACGCTGAGACAACCGCTTCAGGGTACACACTAAACACCTCAAACCCAGGCACCTGCAGAAGCTACTTCGGCTGCTCAACCAGTTGCGTCATTTGTGTTGATTGGGAGTATTGATGGTCCGGGAATACATGCTAATATGCCTGAGTAGACGCGCAGTTTGCTGCTATGATTGGGGGGTTGGCTGTCGCTGCTGGGTGGTTGGTCTGAAAAAGTGGAGAGGGACAAGAGAGAAGTCTGAAGCGAGACATTGCTAGCAACATACAAAAAAGCATGATCAGTCTGGAATCAACTACAAGTGCATGTTGCGTTTGTTTCCTACGCACAGCTTCATGTCATCACATCGACATCAGACATCCATCACTATGGCACACCAGGTTTTTGAAACCAGCAAAACAACAAAATTGCCATTCACGACCCATCGTCTAAACCTTTTGTCTAGGTAACACATTGTCTATACTGTGCATCCCGAAACCCAGCAGCATAAAGCCAGGTCGATCCCATACCCATCAAATCATAATCGTTAACATGTCTCACTCAATCCACCCATATTCCAAAATGCTTTTTCGCATGTCTACAACTGTGTCAGAAGACCCTGGCTCTCCAAAAGCAGGACAATCTGGTGGACGGCTGTCCTGACGTTGGTAGTCGACAGGTCGACAGTCAGGTCAGCGTTGGCGGGCACCTCATACGGGTCGTCGACACCAGTGAAACCCTTGATCTCACCGGCGCGCGCCTTGGCGTATACACCCCGCTTGTCGGTCTTCTCCGCATGCTCGAGCGGGGTAGAAACGTGGATCAGGTAGAAGGATCCGTATCGCTCTACAGTCTGGCGGGCTGCCTTTCTTGAGTCCTCGAAAGGAGCAATGGGCGCAACGATGGCTGCCGCACCAGCCTTGGTGAGCTCGGCGGCTACGAAGGAGATGCGGGCAATGTTCTTGTCGCGGTCGGATCGGCTGAAGCCCAGCTCGCTGGAGAGCTCACTGCGGATGGTGTCACCGAGGAGGAGCGAGACGGAGCGACCGCCCTGCTGGTTGAGGGTAACGTTGAGAGCGCGTGCGATAGCGTCCTTGCCGGAGTTCTGGTAACCTGTCAGGAAGACAGTGAAACCCTGTTGGCTGCGAGGGGGGTGGGATTCGCGAAGGACGCGAACGACTTCGGGGTATGAGAACCATTCGGGGATCTCCTGGCCGGTTCGGAGGCGCTTGCGGAGCTCTGTTCAAAATGTTAGTTTCCAACCCCTAAGTGAAGGCAATGCAATTGACGTACCAGTTCCGGAGATGTCGAGGGTCTTGATGCCCTGCTCAACCTCGTTCTTGGGCTTGTACTCGTCCGAGTCGGGAAGGTAGGTCATCTGGAGGAAGGGAACAACCTCGATGCCGAGCTCGTCCCTGTACTTCTCGACGGCGTCCTGGGCGTCGTATGGACCGTAGAAGTCGACACCCTTGGAGTTCTTGCCCGGGCCAGCGTGGTCACGGCCGACAATGAAGTGGGTGGCACCATGGTTCTTGCGGATGATGGCGTGCCAGATGGCCTCACGGGGACCAGCCATGCGCATAGCCAGAGGCAGAAGAGCAAGGACGGCCATGCCGTTGGGGTAGCGGGGCATCAGCGCCTGGTAGACACGGACACGGGTGAAGTGGTCAATGTCACCGGGCTTGGTCAGGCCGACAACGGGGTGGATGAGGACGTTGGCCTGGCGGGCGCGGGCAGCGCGGACGGTGAGCTCACGGTGAGCGCGGTGCATGGGGTTCCTCGTCTGGAAAGCGACGACCTTGGACCAGCCAAGCTTGTCGAAGTGCAGACGCAGCTCCGCGGGGGTGTATCGGAGGCCGACATAGTCGTAGTGCTCCAGGCGGTCGATGGCCTCGAGCTTGCCGCCGACGTAGTACTCCTTGACCGTCTCGTAGAGGTACTTGATGGCGGGGTGTGCTACGTCGTTGTCCTTGTCGAAGACCTCGCGGGCCTCCTTCTCCTTGTCCGGCTGGTAGACATCGTCGACGGTGATGATGGCCAGGTTGCGGTCGTCGCGGAAGTCGCGCAGGGCGATGCGGGCGCCTTGCTTGACGCCGACCTCATCGATGGTCTGTTTCGAGATGTCGAGTGTGATGGGAATGGAGAAGAGGTTGCCGTCGGCGAGACGGTTGTCGGACACTACGCCGTCGTAGTCCTTCTGGTTCATGAAACCTGCATCATGCTGTCAGGGGCCGTGCTGCTGCAAACATCGCAAACACGAGGGGCGCCTTCGCTGCCCCTCGCCTAGCGCTGCGGGATGACGACTTACCCTCCAGAGGTGAAAAACCTCCGTTTAGGATGAGCTCCAAGTCGCAGAGCTGCCTCTCGGACAGAACAATAGCCGGAAGCTTCTCAGCCTCCTCGAACAGTTCCTTGCGTCGGGGCGCATCGCGTGCGATCAGGTCCTTGAGGACGCCGCCTGTTGTCCCCTCCGTCAGCATTCGTGACCAACTCCAGCGACTCTGTTGATCAACTCACCATGGGGTGCGTTCGCCATGTCTAAAGAATATGTGAGGAATATAGAATCCGGTGGTGGATCTGGTCAGGTATTTCGGCGAAGACTTGATGTCGTTCCTGACTATACAAGACTGGCTTCGCGAAGGAGGTTTTGGGTCACTCAGACAGAAAGATGCGCGACTAAGGACTACAAGGCGGGACGGGTGGAAAGGGCTTTTTATTCCCCGGGTTCTACGGACACTTCAGGCGCCATATCCCCGATTGTTGACCATAGGCTTCTCTGGATTTTCTCTGCTTGCAGAGACTAGGGCACAAAGCGGGTTGTTGTATGGGTCGGCAGATCTTGGAAGCGATTGCGCAATTGCACGCGATAGTTAGAGCCTGTCTCACCCGGCTTTTCGTTGGGCGACGCGACCACAGTGACGTGAGCGGAGCGGAGAAGGAGCACCATGTCCTGCAGTTTGTGTTGCGCTTTAGCGATTTTCAGGAACACCTCACGTATATGACAGGTCTAGCGCAATGCTGGAAATTCGTTTGATTCATGCCGGAGCATCATTGGCTCCTGCGTCGGTGGTATCTCGGCCCCGTATATACATAATCGGATGCGACTGCCGCAAACCCCATTCTTTCGTGACCCAAACCCCATGCTATGCCATGTCCCATAAATAACCCAAACGCCCATGCTAATGCGGTACAACAAGTAGGAATCAAGACATCCTATATCACCCTAAACGTTCAAAGAGACTTGTTGCAGCTTGTTGGCTAGGTCCTCGTTTTGCTGCTTCATCGCCTGCTCTTGGAGGAACTGGGCATATCGTGACTTGGGGTTGTGGATGCCGCACTCGGACTTGTTCTTGCCCTTCCAGCGTCCTGCTCGCTCGTCCTCTCCGGCAGCTACTGGCTGTGTAGAGTGCCAGTCACCGACACTCTTGTAACCCTGGTTGAGAAGGTCGTTGTATGGGACGTCGTTGGCGTCGACGTACTCCTTGACCTGGGCGAAGTTCCAGTTGGCGAGAGGGTTGATCTTGATGAGGCCGGCCTCGTCCACCTCGATGATGTCCAGATCTCCACGCTTGCCACCTTGGCTACGTCGGCGACCAGTCAAGACAGCCTTGACCTGAAGTTCAGAGTAGGCACGCTCAGCAGGCTCCACCTTGGCAACGTAGTCGTAAAGTTCGTCGTTGGTGTCCCACAGCTTGTCACCGTGCTTGGCAGTGAAGTCGTTGACGTTGTCGCAGCCAGCAGGCTTGTAGACGTGTACCGGTGTTCCGTATCGCCTCCTTACCCGGTCAACAAGGGCATAGGTTTCGTCGAAGTGGTAGAGAGTGTCTAGGAAGATCAAGTCGATGTTGTGCTTCAAAGGTCCATCGAGCTTCGAAAGCATGTCCACTGTGACCAGGCCAGTAAGACCAAAGGCTGTGGTCTGGAATAGTCCAGGCAGAGATGTGATGCACCATCGGAGGATGTCTACTCCAAGTTAGTTCAGGAAATTTTCAGGAGTAAAGTGCTATCACGTACCTTGCGGCTCAAGCTTCTGGAGCTGGGCGTTGATGAACTTCAAATGAGGCTTCGTGAAGTAGATCTCAGGTAGGCTCTCCTGACTGGATTCGGCTGAAGCATAGCCAGACTCCTCGCGAAGTGTAGGCTGCTTGTAGGCGTCAACCTTTGCGAACAATGGTGACGACATCTTCAAGATGGTGTGGCGGAAGTTTGGGGTATGGCAGGCACGTGCGGAGAAGCCAGAAGGAGTATGTCTTTGTGGGTTGGTGTCTAAATGGAGGCTTCCCAGGAGAAACTACTATTATCAATCGTTTGAGTCTGGAGGTGGGAAGAGGGAGAGCGACCACGGCCTGGAGTATATATTGGGCGCCGCCATCGGGATCGCTTTGTAACCATCTCCGCAAGGTGCGATAGCTGGGGGTGAAGACGTGCGATCACGCAATTCGCGCTAGTACATGGTGGAGCAAAACTCTTCCTGCCAGCCTTATGTAAGGCAGTCTCGCCAATCATTCGGCGGCAGTAGACGTTTTGCTACTTCTGAGGCTCGGACGACGTCTATGCTCATGCACTCCGCGGCTGTGCGTTGGTTGGAAATCGCCCGATGGTTTGAGGTTTTGTCATCAACGTCATCCCGTGGACGATTACCGAACAATGCGAATGGCTGAAGTCATGGTGATCTGGCTCTGGCTGACGGACTAGACGGACGGACGGACTGCCTAATGGTGGGCTGAGGAATGCCATGTTGTCTCATCTTGACTTTCTCTTGATGTTTGCCTCTGTTGACAGTATGGAGTTGGTGGAGTGCCCCGGCCCATCGGCAAGCGCCGGGCGATCGCGTCCGGGGCTTCGCCCAGAAGACTTGTAACACGCATCAGGATTTACTGTAAAACCATCGGTTAGTGTGAGTCGTTGTGGAACGTCAGGTATATTTACCTATAGCTGTCCATGCTTGAGGCTGAACAATTTTTCTAGCCTCCTGCACGACTCGGTGCACCTTATACTCATGGGGCGCGAGAACCGTCGTCCTGATTCTTGAATCTGCAGCAAGCATGCGCCTTTCTGTGGGTAATCATGTCGCGCGATTCTTGCCTGGGCGCTTCGTGATAATCCTATGTCGTGTTGTCGGTGCTGTTGTTGTCGTGAATGGTGGCGGATGTCACGGCGGGGTCGAAGGTCGCTTGTCGCACTAAATGGCCGCGGCTAACCGGCATGGTCTACAACTCTATATCAATTGGATGGAGTTTATTGCCGCAATCAACAAGTCGTTCTTAACTTTTGTGCAAGCATCATGCCCGAATTTAATGGCTACTCCTGTGGATGCGCGAAGATTGAGAACGTACCCCGAAACCATGCGAATGGTAGCAACGATGTACTGGTGAGCTTCAACACTGTCGCGCAACTTCGGCAGCTAGGGCAGTACTTAGATATGCATCAACACCACAACCACGTTCATTGGAACGAACAACTCTCACTGTCTTTCTATCAAGGTAGATTGCAGAGACTGGTAACATTTTCATCAGTCTACTCTTCCATACCATCCAACAAGGCAATCTTCCCTCTCCACAACTCCTTCGCATTCCCCCAAAACACCTTCTCCTTCTCCTCAAACCTTAATTCTCCCGCCCATGCCAACCCATCAATATTAGCATCCACATCCCAAAACCCGATGCCATACGGATAATCCGTCCCAAACACCATCTGACTAACTGGAATACCCATTCCTTCCGTCAGCCCTTTGACCTGATTTGGCCAGACTGGTCCTGCACTATCGTACCAAAAGCGTGTTTTGTAGGCTTCCCTTGCTGCGGTCGAGATGTTGGGGAAGCCGAGAAGGAAACGCTCGGAGATATCGGGGAAAGCGCCTGCGCCGTGGGATATGCGGTAGTGGAGGGACGGGAACTTGAGGAATGTGGATGAGGCTGTTAGACTCGAGATGGCGCGCGCAGTTTCGAAGTAGAATTCTCCGAGACCGGAGCGAAGAGGTGCTGTGGCATGTTGTCAGCTCGCTCTAGCTCTTGGTCGTTTGGGGGACCGGGTTTGGGAAAAGAGAACTCACATGGTCGAGAATTTATCAATCGGCCATCGTCGAGCTTGATAATGGGCTCTGTTGGATGCACAAAGACGACCTCCCTCCCATCGCTTCCCATCTTTGCGGATCTCTCTTGTAGGTACTCCCACAATGGATCGAAAGTCTCGTCTCCCGGGTACATCCCCTCGTGGTTTGTTAGCACACCAACACCCACTGGCTGTTTCCCCACCATTCCAAACACGCGCTTCAACTCCGTAATCGATTCTTCCACATGTGGTAACGGCATAATGGCCAACCAACTAAATCTCTCTGGATAGATCCTGCAAAGTTCTGCTGTAAAGGAGTTGAGTAAACGCGCAAGGGCAACTGTCTTCTTCTTTCTCAGCTCTTCGTCTCTTTCAGTCAAGAAGGCGTTGGCCTGGGGTGTGGACACGCAGAGTACAGAATGAGCGATGTGGTGTTCACTCATGAATATGAGGTGGGACGATACGTTCCAAGACGGCGTTGCGCGGCCTGCAGCGTTCAATTCGAGGGCTCGGAACCAGTCTGGGATGGGGCTATAAGATTTGTCAGTACATCGGCACACAAACGTGCGTCTTTGACACTGTGTTGTGTAGCATTTGAGCTTACTGTGTATGCGTATCGACCCTCTTTGAGGTCGAGAAGTCAAATTCCTTCACATTCACCATGCTACTCGCTAGCGAAGCGATGCTCGCAATAGCTTCTTTGGCAAAAGGCAATACTGTTAGGTCGATACCATCTTTGTATGCTTCATATTGTATCTGCATCCATAGTTTGTTCTCGTCATGTTGTGTACCATTCGAGGGCGTTGAGTATGGCTTGCCGTAGGGATACGCCTTTGTCACGTTAGTATGTCTTGTTCAGTGACAGCATTGTAGCGCCAGATAGCTCTTCTTTCACTTAAAAGCACTCACCATTCTTTCACTAGACGACATTCTGATATGAGGGAAGACGGTGACGATGCTTGCAGCTGTGGTTAGAGTTGAGATGTAGACTGCTCCACATGTCAGTAAAGATAAAGAAGGGATTCGCATGTTTGACAGCTGTAGCTCACTCACAGTCTCGCAAGCACGAAGCGAAATATGGTTCATGTATTCTTGTAGAGTGAACTAATCGTTGTTGTTGTTGTTGCTGTTGGCCCAGTGAGTTAGCTGCAGGTACTTAGCATGCGCATGTGCGGGGAGCCGCCACTTGCGGAAGTCGCACCTACCTAGGTACCTTGTCACTTCCTACCTGTAAGCTGCATGTATTCCAACTGCACTTATTACTAGATACATTAGTTTAGCAGCTTCAATGACATTTCGGACTTATTCACGCATCAGACAGACTTCACCCAGGGGACGCGCATACATCCGAAACCTTACACAAATACATCTAAGAAAAGCACTTCCGTTCCACAACCTACATCTAGCTACCTTAAATTTCTCAATCATGCAACCTCGGCAGTAGTAATAGCACTCTGATACTTCAAGTCCAACTGCGGCGCCTCCACACCCTTTCCAGGAATATCACCAAGCCCCGCGGGCTCCACATAGTCTTCTTCCTTATACCCATTAACCTTCAGCCTCAACTTCCTACTCTCGGCGTAAACTACCCTGCGCATTCGGTTGGTGCTTCCAAGCGGTTGGTGCTCCTTCAATCCATGCCAGCTGTTCACCGTGATGCGATCATCCCACCACGTCCTAAACTCAGGTAGCCACGAGTCCTGCGGCGGGAACTCAATGGTAGCGATTTGTTCAAATGGATATTTCTTGGGGTCCCATTCGATGCCAATGTCGTCGACGGGCTGTTCGGTGAGGTCCTGCAAGAGTTGCGCGCAGAAGCTGTAGGTTATAGTGTTGTTGAGGTGGTGTGTGCGAAGGGTCTGCGAGAGGATATTGATGGGGTCTGAGTCTTTGACTTCGGTGTTCTCAAGGTCCTTTTGGAACTTGCTATTGGGGAAGACACCGTATTTGGCTATGTAGGCTCCGTGGCGGTAGGCTGATTGTGAGTACTCGGGCATAGCAACCATGTGTTGTTTCGGCAGTTGTCCGCCGAGTGTTGCTACGTCGGCATCAACGCGTTTGCTCTGCTCGTCTGCAAAGGTAGGCAAGTCGTTCCAGTTTCGCTCCAGTGCGTCTGCAATATCGTATGTGGTTTGGGGATCACGCAGCTCCAATACCGGGTAGTTGTTGAAGGTCCAGTCTTGCGTCTTCTTGTCTTCTCCCCATAACTTCTCGCCCTCGATACCAAAGACCTTCATGCCAATGCCGCGTGGCGCTGCCAGGTTGTCGGGCAAGATCTTGGGCGTTAGAGACGAGTACCGCATGATTACATCGTAGGTACCGGGCTTTGCGAACATTCCTTGGGCGAGATGTTTAGGTAGATTGTCGTGCACCGTGAATTTGCCCATAACGCACTACCCATGCTATCAGTAACGTTTATCTCGAGAAGCCTCAGGAAATACTTACACCCTGAGTCTTCAAATGCGTGCCCCTCAAACAATGCATATGCTCATTGAAGTTCATCATCTGGAAACGATTGAACTGAGCAGAAACCTCCTTGATCTTCTCTTGCTCATCGTCTGGAATGTTCTCAACACCTGGCGCATCCCATTTGATGTATTCACCAGTAGCCTTCTTGTCTTGCCCACCAGCTTTGACGGTGCCGCTCGGTACTTTGCCATTGTGGATATTTTGAATTTGGTGGTACCCCATAGGGCATGTTTCGATCTTAGTTCCACTCATGCTGATGAATTGCTGGTTATGTGTGTAGGTACTCCTTGCTTCGCCGCATGCTGCTACATGGACGGTGGCCTTCTTAAGGCACCAACACAGTCCCCGTGGTCACCCCGCAACTGCATCTAGCTTCCGCCTCGCCGACATCTGCTCTTCTCCATGTTTCATTCCGGGTACGATAGCTCAAGATAATGCGGGGTAGCGCGTCAATGATTCCAGTTCTTCGAGATGCACGCGTGCGATGGGTGGTCGGAAGCTGCTCCGGGAGACCCTTTCCCGCCTGCGTCTTCGATCTAGTCCGCCTCAACTGACCAATGATTAAAACTGGATTGAAGATCAGGTCTCGAACGCATCTTTCCAGTCCATGATTTGGAAGCGTCATGATCTGTCTCGAGCGAATCGAACTACTTCTGCAAGGCGCTCTCTGCGAACACGAAACACTAGAAGCGCGGACGCTTGCAAGCACTCGCTGTCAAGCGTCCGTTGCTGTACGTAGGTTTACTTTTTGCATACCCAGGTGTCTAGTCCTTATAGGCCAGAGCAATCGCAAAGCAAGTAGCGCGTTATCTTTCACCAGCTACCACATCCTCCTCCCCAAACCCCCAAAACCCTCCTGCACAACCTTCCTCCCAGCCAGCTCATTCGCAAACTCCAATTTCCTTTGCAACCCCCACTCCTCATGCTCATTAACCGCAAAAAGCATCCCCGCAATAAAAGTATCCCCAGCCCCAATCGTATCCACAACCCTTGCCCCATCCTTCCCATCTGCCTGCCACGCCTTGACATCCGCCCAAACCTCCTCACCCCCCTTTTCAACCGCCGTAGCACCTCCAGAACCCCATGTGCAACACAGTAGAGCCCCATCTCTCGTCTCATCGCGTTTGGCTTCGAGAAAGCTTCTCGCATCCTCATACCCATTCTTCACGGCCCACAGTTTCGAGTAAAACACTACATCTCCGTACTGCGCCACCTCAGCCATGCCCGTCCGCTCAGGCTTCTCGCACTCGACGCTAATTTTGAAATGAGGGTATGTTTCGCGGAGGAAGCGGACACAATGCAGTGTGATCTCTGGGACACGGCCTTCGAAATGGAACCACGCTTTCTTCCATGTCTGTCCCTGTTGTGTAGTGAATTTACAGACTTGATGGATAAATTCTTCGGCTTGCATCTCGGGGAGCTGGTTGATGCTGACGATTGTGCGTGAACGGTTCTCTTCGCTTTGGATGATGTAGCTTGACGCGGCTTCTTGGTGCTGGTTGCGGAAGAGGCTTACGTCGGATATGTTTACCCCAGGAAGCGATATAGATATGAATTGAGAAGCTGCGGATTGCTCTTCAGGAAGTACAGCCAGCAGATGCAGATTCGTGGGGTTGAGACGTGCTCCTTCAGGGTCATGTCGTTGTAGCTGCGATAACACCTCTAGACTGTTTGCCGTATTTCCTCCTCTTCTTCGCGTGAGAGCTTTGGCGCGTAGTTTCTCATCTTCTATGGGGAAGTGTGGGACTCTGAACACTCGAAATTTAGTAAGCTTTTGGGTTTGGGGGTTGTCGCGGAGTGTTGATACATACGTCAATATGGTGTCGATGTAGACGGCACCAACGCATACAATGTGATTTTGGGTATCTCCAGACATGTTTCAATGCGTGGAGCGGTATGCGCGAATGATTATGGTGTTGGCGGCAAGTGGAGAAGTGTCAAATATGATAACCTTGAAAGTTTGATAATGTGGAGCTGGGGTGTTGAAGGTTACGTCAAGTTGGCGCGCCGTCACATGTCCGTCAAACGAAAAACACAACCTTGAACAGTGTTACCAGATGGTCGGTTAGCTAAGAAATTCGTTTTTAAGGGATGTGAGCCCAAAAAATCAAGTGATATTCAGAATCTTCTACACTACCACCATCTTACCTCTGGCTATCCAGGCCTTGCAGCCCCATAGCCTCTTTGGTAGCATCCGTTTTCTCGGCCTCACCCTTCTCCCTGAGTGCTACCTTCTCTACCTCATCGAAAGCCTTGAGTGCATCGCCATACTGTTCGAAAACACCCTTCCTATAGCCTTCACAGATCTTCTTGACAAAGCCCTCCTCATTCCATCGCGCCTCAAGGAAATCCTCAAACTTCTCCTGTGGAGACGAACGTTGTACGCCCCAGGCAGCTTTGTAAGCGGCTCCGAGAGCGCAAGCATTTCCTCCAATCTCAAGTTTGTATACACCATCTGAGCCACCAAGAACTTGACCGGCAAGTTCGGCGATGGCGGGGTTCACGGCACCACCGCCAACCATGTAGATTCTGCGGGGTTGTGCGGGAAGGGAGCCCTGGGGTTCGACAAGGGACTGAGAGCGCAGTCTCAATGACAGGAACTGGGATTCGAGGATTGCACGGGCGTCGGCTTGAGGAACGGGCCAAGATTTGTCCTCTGTCTTGCCTTGGGCAGCTTCTGGTGCTATGGGCGAGAGCTGATTATCTTTGGAAAGGAATCGCCATGTTCCTGCCTTGACGTTTGGTACAATTTCTGGTCGGGGGAAGAAGAGACCTAGACGCATAGGATCGGAGGGTTGAGCTTGGCCAAGTGCAGGAGTTGTGAGGGCTGTCTCGTTGAACTTGTCCCAGGACTTGTCGGATGAGCCTGAGGCTTTGTTGATGGCGTCGCGGATGTGCTCGCGTGCTAGACCACCATTCTTGTAGCAGAGCATGAACATGTAGAGGCCTGCTGTGGTGGGGTGGTTCATGAAATGGTATGCTGGGTCGGGCCTATACTGGGGTGTAGACATAAGGAATGTTGTTGAGGTCCCTAGCGAGACGATGGCGTCGGACGCGCGTAGAGGAAGGGCAAGGATGGTCGATGGGTTGTCACCAGTGAACGCAATGACCTGAGCCGACGATGGGAACCCATAGCGCTTGCTGAAGTATGGCGAGACGGTACCGAAGCTTGAGCCACCATCTTCCGGAACACCTCCGAGCTTCTTCTTGAGGTCCTCGACGCCGTCACTCCCTCCAGCTGCGAGCGCAAGAAGATCCTCATGCCAGCGACCATTCTTGATGTCCCACAGGTTGGCTCCGCATACGTCTCCGATATCGATGGGGGCGACTTTGCCGAGAAAGACGGAAGCGAGGAAAGAGGATACGAGGGAGATGCGAGCGGTCGCTTTGTAGGCTTCGGGGTATTTGTCGTGGAAGCGAAGGATCTGAGGGCCACTGAAGCGCTGTATGGTGTTAGCATTGACAAAGTCTTGGAGAGTGCTGGAAACTTACATGATGGGCGCTACTTCCAGTAGCTAGGGCCAGGTTCCTCGGTTCTTGCAGTGTCGCATCAAAAGCTTCGCACTGCTTCTGTGTACTTGCGTCCTGCCAGTTTGGACTGAAGGGGTGGCTGAAGGCACCCTTCCTCTCGCCCTTGGCACCGCCTTCCAGCTGCTCGAGCAGTGTCTTTCCAGCATCCATACTGCCAAGTAGTGTCTCTGCATCTTTGCTCCAGAACACGGTACCATGTTGCATGCCCGCACCCGAGATACCCTGGATCTTGGAGAAGTCGGCACCCTGCTCCTTCAATCGCTGCAGGACAAGATCAATGGCTTCGAGCCACAGGGCGACGGGCGCGAAAACCTCGCCCTCAGCAGGGTTTGTGAGGACACCCTTCTCAATGCCATATTTGGAGAGATCGGCATCGAAATCGACTTTGGCTTCGTGGATAAGTTTGAGATCGGAACCGACGATGATACCTAGAACACGGCAATGTCAGTCCAAGCTGGAAGACCAGATGGTGGGGTAGCTCTAGTGGGGTATTCGCACCTTTGAGTTGCTGAGTGCTCAAATCGAAGCCCAAGAACTGATCAGCCATGGTCGAAGTGTGTCAGTGAGGTTTCGAACTGTGAAGATAATGTTAGGGTGTTATGTTGACGAAACATGGCTAAAATAAGCAGACCATATCTCGTAGTGTTAGAGGTCCCTGCCTCACATCCACGATACGGCTACGGCACACTTACGCAAGACCCACATTGACGGACGCGCTACATCACAGGCAATTTTGCCGGCGGTGCCTGCAGAAGCGCCAGTACTTTGGCGTGGGATTATTGGATGGCGGATAAATTCGTGCCGAGACATCGTGAGTACGGCTGTGACTTTTTGGAGTTGCATCTCGGCCAAACGCCGATGCCATCTAGGGAATTTCGTTAGCGTGGGGAAGTACGAGTCTAGAGCGTGGGCCGGGGTTGAATTCAGGTGATGGATATTCAGAATATATACAAGTGTCCGATGTCTCGCATATGCCGCCGGGTAGTTGCAGTGCCCAACTCCAGAACGCCCAGCTATGCTTGTCTATAGGTGTACACCAATCATTTCCTTCGCCTTGCGTTGCCATCGGTAGTTTCGTGATCGTGGTCGTGGTCGTGGTCATGTTCTGCCTCAGATTTTTGGCTCGCCGCCGCAGTAGAGTCGCCAGGGATGAACTCGTCGAGAAAGTCTGGTGCTTGCGCCGAGTTGGTCACAAAGCGCACGCGCACCTTTTTTACGCCGCGCACATTGACACCGACGCGGTCCCGGATTGCGTTCTCGACGTCGCGTGTCTGGTCAACAGTCCAGGTGCCAGAGACGCCAATCTCGATATCCATGAGGTAGTTCTGGCCAGCTTTGACACCCTGAATCGCTCGCACATTGACTGGCTCTGATGCGGTAGTGACATCCTTGACAGCGTCAGTCGCTGCTTTCCGCACGTTGTCCTTCATCTCCTGGTCTACGCCGACGTCTGCCAGTTCGAGTAGCGCTTGCTTAGTGTTTCCCCAACCAGCTTGGACCACCATGAGCGAGATGACGAGCCCACCGATGGGGTCTAGCCATTTTGCATTGTTGAGGACGTTGGAGCCGGCGATGAGGAGGAGAGCGACGAAGGCAGTAAGGGAGTCGACGCGGTGGTGGTAGGCGTTGGAGGCGAGGACCGTCGATTTGCGCTCTTTGGCGATCTTGAGGGCTGGAATGGTTGTCAGCGGGCGCTTGCTGTGTTGTTACGGGTGTGCTTACTCGCTCTATAGAGCCATTCCTTAATGACGATTGAGCCAGCAGCAAGCCATATAGCATTGATGTTGGGGCCCAAGTCGTCGATGCCGTGGTGGTGGTGGTGTGGTATAAGCCCCCATTGCTCCGCAACCTCAGCGGCTTCGGGGAAGAACTGCTTGCATAGGGCAAGCAGCGCAGTCCAGCCCATGAAGAAGCCGCCTGCGAGCAAGATGCCACTGACACCGAGCGAGCCCAGACTCTCCACCTTTCCATACCCGCTGGGGAAGCGGTCTGTAGGGGGCTTGAGGGACCAGCCGACGGTTGCCAGCGTCATGATGTCGCTCACGAGGTCGGTGAGGCTGTGGATGGCGTCGGCAATGAGTGCTGGCAGGTGTTAGTAGACGTGCATATCGACGCGCCTGACCATCTCACCCTGACTATTGAAGACGTAGCCTCCGAAGCCCTTGCTGACAGCCATGCCCAGGTTGACGTAGAGGCCAATCTTGGTAATGCGCACGCCGGCGTCATTCTTGTTCTTGGACAAGAGGAAGGTGTTGTCGTGGTTATGGTGGTGATGACCGGCGTGGCCTCTTTTCTGCGTGGCGCCCGTCATGGTGGAAGGGGAAAAGAGTGGTTTGCGGTGGACGGTCGTCGACCAGTTGCGGAGAGGCGCTGTATGCGACGGGATGGCGAGGTACTGGGCACCTTTGGTCGTCGTCTGCGTGCACAGGACGCGCAATTTGGGGCGGCAGGTAGGAGGTTTGTAGGCGTGACGTGATAGGACGTGTCGTCGCACCGAGGGTTGCGTAGAGGAGTCGTGGAGTGAGACGCGTGCACGCTGGCTAAACTGGACACGCAGGCCATGTCCATTGCTGCAGGCGGTGCGCAGTAACATGGGATGTGGTGGCAGCCGTTGCGCCTCTCAGTACTGCGGGATGCCTCAATGCCACTCGCTGCGAATACTTCCAAGACAATTTGGAGCCTCTTTCGCGGTTGCTATCGGCCCTCGAGCCTGGCCTCTCATGGCGCCTTTTGCGTCAACACACGGCAATTGTGGGGGCGCCACCATCCGTCCCACTCGCAGACCACCGCACTTTTGATAGCAGGACCAGGAGAACACAATGCCGGTGTATATTTTCAATCTGTAAGCAATCTCATGCTCTACCTGCCACAGGTTAAACAAAGGGATAGTCCAATCAATAATGATGACTTCTACTGCTACGATCACGAACGTTGCCAAATTTAACAACCGCACACTATGTCATTGCAACCTTCATGCATCACTCCCGTGCCGTCGTCAATTTCCTGCAGGGACATGGGCCTGGAGATCCTCCGCCTTGCGCCTCGGGAGCCGCGCGTGTACGTACGAGTTGGGCCAAGCAATGCACACCTAAAGATAATCGTATCGTGATTACGTTGCCAGCGCGCTTGTTTCCTATTCTAGAGAGCTTCTACACAGATTCATAGCCTTGGCTTCGCACTATCGTCACCCACAGGGTCCGTCACGCGAGCCAGTACCCAGTTTACGACGTCGTCCCGGAACACATCTTTATCAGGACTAGGCTCGTCGTGTACTGACAAGGTTAGTGCCAATACCATGGACTGGGTCAGACATATACTTACAGCGATGAAAGTGTCCGGCGTACGATCTGAACTCCTTGTCCTTGACTTGCAAGGCATCGAACAGGCGTTTCGAGGCATGGTAGCTAGTGATGCCATCCTGCTCGCCGTGAGCAATCCAGATCCTCGTTACGCCACCCTCTCCAACATTGTCAGGTATGATGATCTTCCCACTGGACAAAGCATTGGTGCGATCGAGCAATCCCGCAAGCCCCTCGAGTGTGCCGGTATCATGACAGAGCTCGTCTTCATCGAATCGCTTGCAGACCTCTGGGTCTCGCGAGATGAGTTTTGGATCCAGTTTGTTGGTCAACTGACGCTTTGCCATGAGCTTTCCAGCGACCCTACCGAAGAAGACCGTGATGGGTGATGGCTTGGACTTGGGGTCAAAGTCGATGAAGGGCGACTCCAAGAGGAAGCCGCGAATGTGCTTGAGCACCTCCTCTGGACCCTGTGCGGCATAGCAGAGCGTTTCACCGCCACCCATGGAATGCCCCATCATGAAGAGCGGGACAGGGCTCGGGATCAATGTCTTGATGAAGGAGGTAATGTCGTCCAGCACCTGAGTAGTCGGGCCCGTGTCTCCTCGCTCGGCGTGTTTTGCTACAGATCGGCCCCATCCTCTGTGCCTTGTCAGTAGTGAATATTGGAAGCAGTGCACGTGCGCACCTCTGGTCGAACGTATAAACTTCAATGCCTCTAGACGCTAGATGGGGGAAGAAGTCGCCGTACGTGTTGACTTGACCTGTGTCAGAAGGGAGTTATTCATGTAGCTAGATGGCCTCACCGTGCTAGAGGCAACGTTAGTCATGCATTCAGTATTGTGTCCATGGGAGCCGTACGTCTGAGAATCCGTGGATGAACACAAGTCGGGCTTTGGCCGGACCGTCCGTCTGCTCATTGCGTTAATGTCGATCTTATTGCTATGGCTCCACCATACCTTGAATGTCTTCGTATATAGCTGCTTGCCATCAGCCAAAGCATGGGTGCCTTCCTCGACGGACATTGTGCCTGAATCAGGTAAGAGTTGGAGATATCGGAGGTGTTTGTCGGCTGAGCAGTAGAGTCAGTGACGATAGGTCGTGTGTTGGGCAGTGCACGTGCAGATGAGTTCGTGTCAAAGGAGGATGCAGAGCAATTGCTGTCTTATGGTGTTCAGCTCTCCGGTGACAGCCGCGGCTCCCGCACGCGTCATAGCTTGCTTAGTACACGACGCACTCGCACATGTCAAACGCGACAGCTCAGCGTGCGACACGATGGCAGTCAGCCCATTCTCGGAGGCTCATGGCCAATGCCACTTGGCTATATTTGGAGGCCCGAGATGATGCCGATGCCGTGGTGAGGGTGAAGTCAGCTAGCCTTAACGGCTGTCGTCCAAGCTCCCGCCCAGTGGATCATCCTGCATAACGCATTGGACCCCTCTACCTGGTGTCCCCACTTACATTTTCCTCGTGGTAAGATACTTTCTTCTTGCTATGAGCCTTCCTGCCCGTCGACTCTTGTCCCATCACTCATTTCAGCGACGACTCTCCTCGCAGAGAAGCATGCTGAGCAGCATGCCACAAGCTCGCTCAGCAAAAGCGATCCTAAGCCACCAAGAGCGCACCGCGACGGAACCGCGAGAGAACGACCTGCACACGGCCACCGTCGCCAAAGTCACGCCCGTCAACGACCGGATCAAGCGCTTTAAATTCGAAATCAAGGAAAAGGACGGCTTCAACGTATGACGATCTCCATCTCGCTCGCGACATGCGCTGATGGATAAGTCAGTTCCTCCCCGGCCAATGGCTTGATGTCTTTGTGCCCGATGTAGACAAGGCCGGTGGCTTCACCATTACCTCGTCGCCCTCCGAAGCCCTGCCGCGGTCGGATCCCGATTTTGTTCCCTACTTCGAGCTAGCTGTCCAGAAGAGCCCTAATAACCCGCCGGCCGCATGGCTGTGGCAGCCGGCGGAGGAGATACTAGGCAAGGAGGTCACTGTGCGTGTAGGCGGAAGCTTCGTGTGGCCTCCCCCGTGTCTGGACATGAAAAAGATTAAGCGCGCCATCTTCATCGCAGGAGGTGTTGGAATCAAGTGCGTCCAGCTCTGCCGTGACCAAGTCGCACGCCTCGCCCGCTAACACCCCACAGCCCTATGATGTCAATGATGACCTACATAAACCAGAACTACCCGAACCTCGAAGTACGCTTCCTATACTCTACCAAAGTCCCTTCGCGCGAAACCGACCCGAGCGAAGTCCTCTTCCTGCAAGACGTGCTCGACCTGTTCCGCATACCCAGATTCAAGGTGACCAAAGACCGCCTTGAGCTATTCTTTACAGGCACGTGGGACGGGTCCGAGATGGGCACAAATGAAGGTGACTTGATACATCCACTCATGTCTCTGACGCTGCCGCAAATTGACTCGGCTACCGAAGTGCCAGTGTGTGCCTGGACGCATCGCATTGACGATATTGCACTCTCTAGCGCAGTTGGCAACAGGAAGGAAGCCCAATCCACCGTCTTCTATGTCTGCGGGCCCCCAGACATGACCGACGACATGGTGAAGTTTATCAAGGAGCAGGATAATGTCGCTCCAGAGAGAGTGCTGTGCGAGAAGTGGTGGTAATGGAAAGGTTAAGGTAATTTACCATTGGATAGTTCAAGGCGATCAATACTAGGTTTTGCATTCGACAATGATCCCGTCGCAGCGGCAAGCGCTGTTGTATGTACGACGCTCACACCATTAACTCGAATTTACGCGCCCACAAAGACCGTAAATTCCAGACGGCTCGTGATAGTCGAGGGACTGCTCCACTAGACTAGCTCCACATTTCAAAACTCAGTCTGGGAACCATGGCCATCAACGTTATTCGCGCCACACGCTGTTTCCTATCCGCGGGCACTGTACGGCACAGCAAGCGATCGCTTGCGTTGTGCAACCCCGCGATAAGGCCTTCCACTTCATCCGACCTCTTACCTCGAAGTTCTATATTGAATTACCCGATTCGTCGATATTAACCCACATTCCTCGGTACAAGAGCAGGGATGGCGCAAGGAACAAGCCGTCTAGCTCCCGCCTGCAGCGCCGACCTGCAAGTCTGATTCGTCGTCACACCTCACAAGCTGTGTGATCGCGCAGCATGCGCGTGCCACTCAGCGCCTGCGATGGCTCTTTCGCCCCTCAGCTCCCTCACTGGCGTCGGCTAAGATGGGGGCTTACATGGCTGTTAAGAGCGTGAAAGGCCCCGGAGAGCTGGATGCTGATGCTTTTCTTGTACGTCCGGACCTCGAGCACGAACAACGACTGTGTGCGACCATCGGAGGCTTTTGGTAGCATCTCCAGCTATCGACTTTCGGTTAACGACAATTGCGCAACAAGACTGGACGGCGCATTTCAGCCTTATCCCGCAATCGCGATTCGTCCGAGCGCAGCTGAAAGCGCAGCATCACGTGTACGGCAACGCCCACCACCGCACATCACCGTCGAGCGTGACGGCTTCGAACGCCCGTCATGGGTTTTTTCATATCGCGAACATGGCGCCTGCCCAAAATCATCTACTTTCTCATGATTTTTGAACTGCCATTCACCGTGGCCAATCTTGCCCTTTTCGGTATCGCATCGCCAAACCTCTATCGCACCATTTTGTGGAGAGTGGGAGGCGAGTTTGGCTTCAACTCGAAGCCAAGCACCGTTTTGTACGCGGCTGCGAATTACCGGCCAGTAGATACACCTTTAGTATGGAGTAGCTTGTAAGTAACATGTCGAACCAACACTGCAGTCCATATCCTTGCTATCATTCCACTCGACTTCAAAACCTGAATAGTGTACTGACAATCATAGCAATACCCAATACCACCTCGTAATTGGCGTAGTATGCATGTTCTTCTGGCTCGTCAAAACAACCTTATGGCTCCTCAAGGTCTTCTTCCCAATCCTCTCGCTCCTCCTCCACATCGCACTCATGGCCTTATGGGCATACGGCATCCACATCCAAACCGCGCCCGACACCATTGACCCAGAGCACGTAAACAACGGCGCACCCTGGTACCTCACCAAGAACTGCAACATCGTGGACGACAAGCACATCAAGAGTTACTGCATGCAAGCCAAGAGCAGTTTCGCCGTTAGCATCGTCATGCTGTACGTCCCCTACCATCCGTATACATCCGAGTAAAGCGCTAACTCTATCCCAACAGCACCATCTACGTCGTCTTCTTCGCCCTATCAGCCTACTCCCTCATCCCAACCACCGCCCAGAAACAAGCCCACGCTGCCCGCAGAGCCGAAAAGAAAGCCGAGAAGGAGAAATGGGCCTCATCACCCTACGACAACGAGATGACTGCCGACGAACAATGGCAGCACATGTGGGAACTCCAACAACTACCTCGTACACCCGGTACCGTTGGCGGCATGAAGTCGCCCATGACACCGCGCACACAAGCATTCAACAACCTGGGCGGAGAGGAGGCTGCGCACGGTGGGGGAGGTTACTACAGCAATGTACCCGCGGGAGGGAATGGCTGGTATGGGCCGCCACAACACCAGCCAGGCTCTATAACCATCAGTCCGGTTATGGAGCAAGACGAGTACTACTCGCCACATGAGGGCAAGGGGAAGACACCGGGTTGGGGCGGTAATGCGTACTAAGCGTCTAACGCTTGTCGACGTGCAATCATCTTCTTTTTGTCTGGGTTTGGCGTTTGAGCGTGGTTGTGTGTGTTTTTTTCGATGATACCAAATCTGGGAACTGGGCTTTTCACTCATTATGGGGTGTGAGAGGTGGAATCGGTTTATTTATCCATTTCAATATGTAACGTTACGTTTTCTGTGACAATGGAATCGATGGCTGTGCTGAGTCCTTTGGAAAAGCTCGTTTGTGTGTGATTAACGTCACAACCTATTGAATGATGGGACTGGGAGAAGAGATTGTGAAGACTGTAGCAGCTGAAATCTGGACGTGCACGTATGCAAAGCCGAAGATGGGTATTAAGTGACTAAGGCGTAGTCAACATCAGGTGTAGGGTGGTTTGATAGGGGTTGGATCGTATTGGCTGTGCCAAAGAGCTGAAGGACGTTGTGGTCTTCTCTGTCTTTTGCGCTCGAGCCTGAGGGGTCTTTTCGCGAGGGAACCTTGGTTGTGTACATTGGGGACGTTGTGGTTGTGGTTGTCGGGACTGGGAAGATACACCTATCGACGATGATATAGTGGCTGGATGAAGCCGTACTCATGTCGCTAGTAGATGTGCTCTTGTAGGCTCATAGGTTCCTTCCGCATGTGGTGACACGAGACAAGCGCGCAGAATACGACCCCGCTTCCTGCATGCACACCCATAGCCTCGATATGTTTTATTGTTAACAGCGTTATAGGGTATCTTAGATCTAAAAAAAGTTAAGTCTTAAACAGGTAACAGCCCTCTACTAGGTGTCTCAAAAGGCGTAATTAAGGTGTAACACGTACCCGAAAGGTGTGCGCGAGGTCGCGCTAAGCCTTCCTGGCTCGGCGGCCGACACATGGCCTCGATAGCGAATTGGTTCCTACTTTTTAGATAGCTCTAGGCAGCAGCTCCTGCGTCAAGACCATGTACCCGTCTTCTTCCAAATGTTCTACGACATAACCCGTATGGTTCGAGTCCTGCCAAGATGTTGTGCGCCAATTGTTCAGATATCGATCTCATTGCGATCTTGAAAGGCAATCACGAAGGCATACCGCTAAAGAAGGGACATGAAGTGTGGATCACAAGATCTTCTGACCCTACCACTATCTGGATATGGAAGTCACAGTCTGGTTGCGAGTTCTGTGAGTTCATCTTGGCGACAAAGGTCAACTTATTCCCGCGAAACGAGTCGCTGCAACCACGCTATCTCCAACTTGACCGCGGGAAAAGCCTGATGAGGGTATTTACGAAGTCTGGGCCCGTGACGAAGCTGTCGTCTCATGTCAATATATTCTATGACTTTGAAGACAGAAAGCCTGAGCTTCAGGTTGCTAGCCATCCTAGCTTGGTAGTTCCTTTCGGTGTGTCCGCGGAGATCAAAACTCCAGAGCTTCAACCGTCCCCGCTACGAGTAAACGAAGTTCCGACCTGGCTTCATTCCAGCGCTACTAGACAATACCTACAGAATTGCTTAACCCATCATAGTACCTGCAATCAACAGAAGGAAACATTCAGTGGCCGGCCAAGCCAGCTTAGGGTGATTGATTGTCACACGAGAGCAATCGTCAGACCTTCTGGCGACATCCCGTATGCCGCGTTGAGCTATCGGTGGGGAAAAAGTAATGGCGAGTCTCATGATTTGCAAACAGATATCCTTCCAGCAAGACTCCCTTCAACGGTAGAGGATGCTATTCGAGTAACCCAGAGTCTCGGCATTCGTTATCTTTGGATCGACGCATATTGCGTTCTTCAGAAGAACGAAGACGATTTCAAGCACCAGATTCGCCAAATGCACCTCATCTACCGCTCTGCTCAAATCACGATAATAGCTGCCGGGGATGCGGATGCCAGTTCGGGACTCTTGGGCGTTTCGATACCACGGGGAAATGTGCAAACAAAAGGTCGATATAACGAACTCAATCTAGTCACGTTCTCGCCCTGGCCTTGGGCCTTGGTATATTACACCGAAGGATGGTTCAGACGTGGCTGGACGCTTCAAGAAAGCTACTTTTCAAGGCGGAGGCTCATCTTCACTGAGAAACAAGTTCTATTCGACTGCGATGAAGGCGTCATTAGCGAGGACCTACAGCATTCTCAGATACGTTATCGTTCCATGTTAGAGAAGTGGCAGCCAAATGTGGACGGAGAGACCATCTACGATTTGATTGAGTCGTATACTGAGAGAGCCCTCACCTACGGTGTTGACATCCTCAATGCATTCGATGGCATTTTGGGCGAATTTGAGCAACAAGAACCACCTATCAGATCATACTGGGGTATACCTTTGCCTTTCGATACATCCGGATATCTGAACGGGCTTCTCATTGGGTTGTGTTGGCGCCATGATATCCAGAATGAGAAAGTCAATCGCCGGTTAGGCTTCCCAAGTTGTTCTTGGGCAGGATGGTTGCACAATCCAAATGCTGTGTATCATATACGAAGAACGCCGAACACGACCCTGGTGGTCCCAAAAGACCTAGCGATCCTATTTGAGAAAAAGGATGGGATTTTGCAGTCTTTGCAAGACTTTGAGAAAGCCAGTCCGAATTCTACCCAGCGGCACCACTATTCTCAGCGGATATTTATTTCAGCGCCATCATTCAAGGTTATGCTACGCAAGAGAGCTGTTGTTGGAAGACATCTTGGTCGCGTGGTACATGGCCACGATGCATCGGTATTGCGAGGTGGAGGCCATGACTACTGGTCAGAGATGGCGCGCCTCGACTGTCCATTCGAGAACCTAAAGTTTTCACATGTCGGTACTGGAGCGATTGAGATCAGAACTTGCTACGCCATATTTCTATTTCGCGCTGTCGATATGAAGGATCGGTACAATGAACCTGTGGAGACAGTGTTCGCTTTCCTCCTCGTATCCAGAATAGGGACGAATTGGGAGCGAGTCGGTCTATGGTTACAACCATTCAAGGCTAAGGCAGGGGCTGAAGATCCTCCAGTGTCTTCATCCTACAAGAAAAGGGACTTCTGGATTGCATGAGCTGTAAATTGGTGCTCGAAGTAACATCTCCAAGCGTGGCTTCAACATTGTACGGTTAGCTTGGTGGGTATTGTTGTGTATAAGAGAATATTGGCTTTCAGTCCATACTGATGGTTTGAAGGAAATCTAAGTGCGACTTCTACCTCACTCCGCACCTACACAAGACGCCGATCTTCTAACTCAAGACTTGCGGCATGATGCATACCACACTCGCTCCCACACTCGTTCCCATGCTCGTGCGAGGCCGCTACTCTACCATGATTCTCACCTCTCTCGGTGCAAAAGTCCGCAGAAAGCTCAATCGTCGACTCGGTATCGGGACAGTTAGACGTCAATGTCCGGCTACATCCCCTCTTAGGAGCACTACCAAAGGTCGGTGCGGAGTTTGGATTGCCGTAATTACTGGGGCCAACGGATCTTTTGTTTGATCGGAGATGGGTGAATATACCACCGCAGGAGCGTAGGGCGGGTCGGAGGAGAGGGAGGGATGCTAGACGATGAATGTCAGCGACTTGGTTCGAGGAAAAGATTCATCGTATATGACTGACTTGCAAAGGATGCCAGGTTCACATCGCATACTGCCCATATCTGGTCGTCGATGCCGTCGTATGTGAGATCTGGATGGGGGTTTCTGCCAAGGGCGACCGTATGAGCAATGGTACCGAGTGCTGAGCCACAGACCCTTCGAATATGTTAGAGATGTTGATGTATTGCCTTTGTGCGACTTACAATAGACCAGCCGCGAACATTGCCGCTACAGCAACCTTGCGTGCTGTCGAGATATGCAGTCTGGATATCTCATAGAGCGGACAGAGTAATATCGCGACCTCAAGAATGAAATGAGGAATGGCCGCAGCAAAGAGCGACATCATCGGCGGCAATGTGCACTTGCCTGGGATTTCTTTGTGCCAGAACTTCTGAATCGGCTGACATTGCATCGTGATGAGGACAACCTTGTGAGATCAGCGTACCGCCGTTAGAAGTCGATTTAGATCGCTTGCTTACTCTGACAACGATCCAGCATGCCGAGCAGACGAACAAGATCCTGATAGGCTGTCGGATGACGGAAAGACCAAATGTTCTCCAGTAGAAGCCTAATATGACAAACTTGGATAGCCCGACGGAAAACGTGTAGAACCACATATCTACCCATAGTTCTAGGAAATAGTGGTACACAATCTCGTCTTCTGCCATGTCGATGTCGTGTAGTGGCCTTCCGAGTCCCCATCGCATCTCTGGTCACCGTCAGCGCTTAGTTGTTAAGACTGCAGAGTAGTACATACTGTATATACTGATGAAAGTGAAAGCACTTCCGGTAGACTGCACAACTGTAAGTCTTGTGTCGATAGAAAGTCGAGTATACATACAAACGCAATCGCGGCCAAAACATCTTCCCATACCAACGGATGGCTGGTCTGACGGCGTGCAACCAACCGAAAGACAAGCGCGACTGCAGCGGCAGTATAAGTTGCAAGCGCCGCTGCGTAGAGTTCGGGTTGTCTGTTGTGTCCCATTGTGGGCCACAAGATGTGTCGCACAAGGATAACACAGAAGGTCAACGATTGATATCTAGGTATAATGAGACAACGCTCGTTTGTACACTAGCGATGAACCTTGCTCTTTTGGGACTAGCGTAGTGTTATACTGAGAATGTTTGGTTTTAGAATGAATGAAACAAGACACTGCATGCGAAGCTGATTCAGAGAATTAGATCGTATTAAGATGGCGCGATGAATGACGGTTCTGCGGACGTAGCGCTTCTCGCATCTCATAGCTGATGCTGGTAACAGTCGTGCAAGTCAGGACGGCCCTTACTCAAATCACAGCCGCAGCGGCCACCTGAGCGGTCGGTTGGTGACTGATAAGCGCAACGCACTCGATAGGACGCATCTACCCCAGAGATCGCGAAGCTGCACGATGTTATGGCTTGGACTGATGTGGATCTTGCCGGGCTCAGGTCACTTTGCATGATCCCCAACTGCATATTCAGGTGATCT